CCCCAGCGCAGCCGGCCATCACGAGATCTCGCGCCGGGGTTGTTCATGGCCAGAAGCGGCCGCGGCGAACGCCCGAGAACCTTTGGGTGCCAAGCCTCCCCTAGCCCTGTATCACCATGTCGATTAACAGCCCCCGCTCGAAGCTTATTCCAGGTTTTCCGAAACGTGCTAGAACACGGGGCGGAGGAAAAAAAAAACACACGCACACTATCGAGCCCCCCGCGCCCCCCAGTTCCCAATCTTTTTTTTTGCTGCGCCTTTTTGGCATCGTCCACTCGGAGCGAGCCAGGGTTGGCAGCTTTCTTCTAGCGTTGCTCGCACAAATCCACTGGGGGTGACGTCCTGGTGGTGGTGTGATGATGAGAAGTGGGTGGTGGTTCGGCCAAGCTGAGAGAGAGAAAGAAAAGACGAGAGAGGAAAAGAGGATGGATGATAACGGGATAAGTCAAAAGAATAATCATGGCCCCCACCCTCCTCCCCAATGCAAATCAAACAATGTGGTGATGGCGACCTTTGAGCCCTTGTCCAAGAATGGCGAGGCCAGCGAGAGGCCATGTATGGGCTTGTCGGGAGCTTCAGCCAGGTCTCGTTTTCTATTGTCTGAGTCTGACGCAAAGTCGGGACGCGGGGGTCGCTCGCAGCCAAAAGCAGCGGACGTTCAACGATCTCTCTCCTCCATCTTGTTCTGTCTGTTTGTTTTTTTTTTTTTTGGCCTTTTTTTGCTCGTCCTTGTCCGTCTCTGCTCTCCGTCCGTGCCCACCACCAGGTAGGTTAGGGTTACAGATGATACTACGTCGAGCGACTGCCAAGTTCGGATCTGGACCAGAGGGGCCATGCGCCACCTTTCTCTCTCACAGGATGAAATGTATCCCGAGCGCTCGGGGCCGCACCGTCCGTGGCGTTTGACTTTTTTGCTTCCTTCGTCTAGGGCGAAATGGCAGATGACGAGCGATCAAAACGAGAAGAGGATCGCTGGCGGTCAGCAGATGGGTTTTATTACAATCGCACGCTTTTGACAACTTTAGCCCACATGGAAAACACGATCGTGACGCGACATGTCGCGTGTCCAGACGCGTTCCTCAATAGGCCAGATTCAGGCCCCGCTCAATTCTGATTGGCCAATGTCCGTGACGCTCAGAAGAAAAGTCCCCGACCAACGACGAACGAGCATCTCAGAATCTAATAAGCTCGCGGGGAACTTGCTCGTCCAATAGGTCGCTTGGGGTGTTGCGTTGGGCAAGAATGACGCGATCGGGTGTGCTACGTGTTCCTCTTTTTTTGGTGCCGAGGGCTGTGCATAATTACCTCTCTAATAAACCCTGTGCCGTCCGCCCAAGGGCTGGCTCTTGTAAAACAGTAGCTGAAGCCACAAAAAGTCCAGAATGACCGCATCGGGAACCAGAAACTTTGACCCCGTGGGCTGAAGAATTCGCCCGGACCCTGGTTCCCTTGACAGCCGGAAATGGGTGCAGCCTGTGCATTCCGCGGCAATTCTCAAAAAAACGCAGCTCGCTATAGGGTAGCTTGACAGACAATTAAACCAGTACATGACGTGGTGCATAAACACTGGGAACTCCGTCATCTTTGGCTGCGTCTTGGCTGCTTATTACATGTCCTTTTGTAGGCAGACCGTGATTAAGTTCCGCTGTTTGAGGGGGCGGTTTCGCTACTTCTTCGCCAGAAATGCCTTACAAGACTTTATTGTATCGATTACAGAAAACTTCCGCCCCGGACCGGATCAGTCCATCATGTTGTCTCTACTGACCGACCAGAAACCAACTGATGCAGTTATGACAGCGCGAAGTCTGGCCGTCATGTCTGCATGACGAGATAATGACAGTATATTTACCCCTCAGAGATTTTAGACAGCCTATGACATTGTAAGCTCCTGACTCATGGATTCCTGTTCTCGGTTGCTGCTGGCTTGGCCTATCCGAAGTGCCCCATCCGGTAGCATCTTATACCCCGGCCAATTCGAAACCCTAAATGATTAAAGTTGAATTCTGATTTCCGCTCAATACTCGTTAGGCCCAGTAAGTAATGTGGAGTGGCGAGAGCGAGGACCCAACCGGTAACGACAGACCATTGACTTCCCGGCATCCGTCGATCTCTTGACGATTTGCCAGAGGATCAAGACAGAACGGGGAATCCTCCCTTAAAGCAGGATACCACAGGTGTGTGCTTCTCTACCTGTCATATGGCCAGGCCTGGAATTGGAGAGTTGGGGGTACTCCGGATAGCTGATCTGTAGTAGGTCGTGGATATGGACAACTTTGCTAGAGACCGCGTTACTTTTGCTGGTTCTGCTGCCATCATATGACTGGCAAGTTGCCAGATCACCTTCTCATTCCACCGGCTAAGATCGTCCGTCCTCGCTTTGACGCATCGCTGAGGGAGGGAGTGGGTGGTGTGACAGTCTCAAATGCAGCTTTGGATTGGACGAACCGAAAAGTGTCATCGAGGTTGATACACAAGCATCAACATACCACAGATTTCCACGTGGTCTGTTTCAAATGTAAGATACTACCCTTAGTAACCCAATCCAATCCCTCCACATTGAGCCCAATATCTGGATCTCGCCGTCAAAGAGTGTCGAAGAGTAATCTCGTCTTCAGAAGCAGCTGCAGACGACATTTTCTGCGACTAACAAATAGCGGCTCTGGAGTACTCTATTTTTCCCGAGTCTGATACCTGTTTCTCCTCTACCTTGTATTTCACTCCTCCGTGCAAGGTCGTTTGCCAATCCGGCACGATGCGTCGCGACCCGTGATAATTTACGTTACTGTCGACATAGCAAGCGACCACTACGCCGATGCCTGGTCGGCTCCCGAGAAAATCATCCCGCTGGTGCTACTTGGTTTGCCCCCCGAAGTCGGCCTGGATCCAGCGGACGCTTCGTCGGCACGAGTGTTGGCCATATCAAGGACTGATGTAAGGGTTTCAATGGTTTTCGACATGTTCTACGACGAGTACGACCCGAAGAGAGGACGCCCAAAGTGCGAGCGCGGCGGCCCTGTATGTCTCGTCACAGTCAGCAAGAAAGACAATAGAGATACGTTCAGCGCATTCCTGACGACCGGCCCTACCCTGAGCCAGATCAATCGTGGAGCGCGGAGGGTGCACGGCTGATACGCCATTGATGCGCTGCTGCCATTCAAAGACGACTACGCTAACAGTAATGTGCCTGTCACTGTAAACGGGCCTGCTAATATGAATTTCTAACTAAGAGGGATGGGAGAGGTATTGAAAACATTGTGCGCATTTACTACGTGTAACTGGCTCCGAAGCTCGAAGTGTCTCGGTTACATCATGTCGTATCAAATTGCTCTCGTTCAGCGAAGGCAATGCCTTTCACTACTTGCCACCTGCCTCGCACTTCTCACACAACTCATGCCGAGTCTCCACGAATGAGGCAGGGTCCCAAACGGCATGACCTGTAGTGCATAGATTCTTCTCCCAACGAACGCCGAGCCGTTTACACGGGCCAGAGCAGTCGAATCGGATGTAGTGACACATGGTGACCTGGACTCTATAGTCTGTTGGTGGGATTTCAGTTATGCAGTGGTCCTTGGCAATCTATTTCCTTGCACATACCTCGACGTGTGGAAGCTTGGCCCTCCAAGGGATATCTGTGGTGATGGGAGTTGCGTAGATCGCAATCGAATGTAAGCGGCGGAGCGCGATGTAAGTTTCTGAGCTTTGAGGATATAGCAGAGCGCGATGCAGAGCAGAGACATAGCCCTTAGGGATGGCCTCAAGTATAAATAGCTGGATCGTCATCTGCCAGCACCCAAAGAGGCCATCAGGAGCCCAACTTCGCCATACAACTCAGGCTCGCACAAAGAGTGATGCTATATCCGGAACCCGTCGCTTCATATTCACAACACCTATAGGAGCGATTCAAGCTAGATCAGCTCACCCACCCTTTCACCCAGCTTATGCTCTCTATGGACTTTAAGCAGCGGTTACGAGTGAGGCTTGGGTAGCGATTGGTGAAACTTTGATTCACTCTGCTTGGCGACCTGCGACAGCATCATCTGTGCCTACCATATGGTCGCTGTGGCCCTCGCCCGTGACCTCCTCGCCCCCCTAAGTCTTGGTGCACCCGCATGGTACCGAGGAGGGTGGCGAGATAGAAAGCGAGAGCTGATGGGTGGTACAAATGGAAAGGAGACACCCAAACAAGATTTCATGGTAATGGAGCCAGATTCATCGCGACAAACTGTAATGGAATTATGTATGTAACCTAAACTTTTAGACGTTCAGCTCAGTAGTGGCAGCGCCTTTGATGTACTCGCGATACGGAGCCAAAGCCTTCTCTACAGGACCACCAGGACCGCAGTACTTGTCGACAATCTCGGCGCTGCGGCCGGTGTACAGCTCCGCCTTGAGCATGCCGTCGAGCTCGCCCCAGATGGGCTTGAAGAAGTCGTTGCCCCTGATGCGGTCGACGAGGTCGTTGGGCTTGCCCTCGTTCTTGACGACCGCGCTGGCCTGGTGCGAGAGGACACGGATCTGTTCGTGGGCCTCCTGGCGCGACACGCCCTGCGCGCAGAGGCGCATGATGATGGTCTCGGTGACCATGAACGGCAGCTCGGCCTGAATGTGGGCGGAGATGCGCTGAGGATACACGATCAGGCCGTCGGTGATGTTGTCGAGGCCGATGAGGATGGCATCGGCCAGCAGGAAGGTCTCGGGGATGTCGATGCGGCGCACGGCAGAGTCGTCGAGCGTGCGTTCCACTACGGACGGGCTGTTAGATGCCACTCAAAAACAATGTGGAAGGCAAGAAGGAGGGCAACTTACTCCATTGGTCGGCGTGGGTGGCCTGGAAAGTGGCAGGCTTGCTGAGGAGCTCGCGGGCTAGCGAGTACACACGCTCGGAACGCATCTGCTCATGGGGTTAGTTTCTGATTTTACCGTAGTGTTACAGCTTGGCTTACGGGGTTGCGCTTGTAGGCCTTGGAGAAGTCAGTATAGTTTCCCAAAATGCGTCAACACTGGGTGCTTACCATGGCGGAAGAGCCAATCTGGGAGCTCTCAAAGGGCTCCTCAATCTCCTTCCAGTGGGCCAGGTGACGGATGTCACCGGTGATTTTCTGAGCCGACGAGCCCAGACCAGCAACGGCGTTGGCGACGAGCAGGTCGACCTTGCGCGTGTACGTCTGCGTGGAGACGTCGTAGCAGCTGGGGAAGCCAAACTTCTTGCAGAGCAGCACGTTGAGCTCGTCGCACTTGGCGGCATCGCCCTGGAAGACCTCGAGGAACGAGGCTTGCGTGCCGGTGGTGCCTTGGGCGCCGCGGAACCGGAGGCCGTCTCGGGCCTGCTCGATGCTCTGCAGGTCGAGCATCAGGTCTTGCGCCCACTGGGCGGCGCGCTTGCCGACGGTGATGAGCTGGGCGGCCTGCAGATGGGTGTAGGCGAGGGTGGGCTCGGCTGGTCAAGTTAGAAGCGCTTTCACAAACGGTCAGATCGCGGAGACTAACCCTTCCACTTGAGCGCAAAGGCGGACAAGTTGGAGATGACCTTGGCGAGCTTCTTGGTCAGGAGATCAAGCGCATCCTTCATGAGGAGAAGCTCAGCGTTGTCGGTCACGTAGCAGCTAGTGGCACCTATGAGAGATTAGCAGCATGGCCATGGCATAGAACAGCGTCGAACTCACCATAGTGAATGATGCCCGCCGCCGCAGGAGCCGCCACACCAAAGGCGTGTACGTGGGCCATGACATCGTGTCTACGAATCTTCTCCTCCACGCGGGCCACCTCGAAGCCCTCGTCGGTGACGACCAGGTTAGCCTTCATCTGCTCGAGAGCCTCCGGGGTAATGGTGTCGATGCCGAGCTCCTTCTCGCTCTCGGCGAGGCCCAGCCAAAGCTTGCGCCAGGTCGAGTGACGAGATCGCTGGCTGAAGAGCTGTGACATGGCGGGGCTGCAGTACCGCGTTGTCAGCGAGGTTTGGTAGCTGTCATACGGCGACGAGCCGCTAGTGGAAGCCATTCTGGACTGTTAGATCGTTCAATTTTACCAGAATGATGAATTCGGTAAATTGTCGAGGCTGGATGTTGATGAGTATATTTGACTCGAGCAAGGTTGACTTTTTTTTTTTTTTGCCGTGGCGTGAGGAATCGTTTGCGGATGTGGAGCTGTCTACATATAAGAGCAACCGTAGTTTCCCGATAGGTAGAGTTGAGCGGACGATAACGCCAGGCTATAAGGCCGATGTTGACTCTTTGACTTCACAACTACTGTAAACTCCAAATCATATATGCACACATTCTTCGCTACTTGGCAATTAAGCCGCAGCGGCTCGATTCCAATTTGTGGCCTCATCGCGGGGTACTGTTCATGGCGGGGTTTTGTCACCCAAGGTCTTTGAAGCTGGATAGGAGGAACTGGATAGAAGAGAGGAGGAAAAATTTACAATAAAATTAAGTATTCATTTAGATTGCCAATTGATCTTGGTAGACCATTCTGTATTTCTTTCGGAATTCTTTCATCATTAATTCAGTCCTGACAAGCGCATGTGGAGGATTCCACGGTAGCTTTCGCGGGGTGACTCTTCAAGTGTAGAAAACATCTTGACCCACACAGTCCACACACAGTGGAAATCGCGCCTCCAAAATTGCTGCATCCTCGACCAGGCCTCATTCGACAAGCCGACGCCCAGAAACAGCAACGAACCGCTCGATAAGCTACGCCTCTGAAAAATGGAGGCCGAGATCAAGGCCGCAATCCCTAACATCGACCCCGTCGTCTCGGAGTACTCGGTGGGCTACCTCAACCATGCCTCGCTGGCCTGGTCGGACGATAGTGGTGAAGGCGCCGTCTCGCCCCTCGCCGAAGCTGCGTATACCATCACCGAGCTGCTAATTTCTGCTGCTGAGAAATCCGACAACACCTTCCAGGAAAAGATCAAGGCCCTTGTCGAGAAATGGGTAGAAAAGTATGCCGTCATCAACGGCGGCGAGCGCCACGGACCGCTAGCCATTCGCCGCCTGGACCAGACCATTCAGGTCAGCACACAGCGCAACATGTCCTCAACACTGGCCGTCGCCAGCGGTGGCGTCGATCTAGAGTCTGCCAACGTCCGAAAAGTCGAGTCCAAGGTCGACCGCAAGAAGCTCGAAAAGGCCGAGCGCAAGATTGCCGCAAAGCAACAGAAGAAGCAATACAAGAATGTCGAGTACGAGGCCTCGAGGCTGCTCGACCTGGCCGACCCTGCGCAGTCATACGAGGAGTTCTACATGGCAGTCAACCCGCTTCAGATTGGCAACACCGGCGCCAACAAGACCAAGGATATCAAACTCGACAACATCGACGTCTCCATTGGCGCACAACGCATCCTTACCGACACCACCCTTACACTTGCCTACGGTCACCGTTATGGTCTGGTTGGTAACAACGGTGTTGGTAAATCTACACTCTTGAGAGCCTTGTCAAGGCGTGAAGTCGCCATCCCCACGCATATTTCAATTCTCCACGTCGAGCAAGAAGTACGTGCCAATGCGATTGCCTGTGTACATTTTGGAGCCGGACTAACATCGCAATAGCTCACTGGTGATGACACACCAGCCATTCAAGCTGTCCTCGACGCCGACGTTTGGCGCAAGGTACTGATGAGAGAGCAGGAGGAGCTCACGACGGCCCTGGCGGAGCTGGAAAAGAAGCGTGCGCCGCTCGCCGATACTTCGGCAGATGCTGCCAAACTGGATCGCGAAAAGGAAACTATGGACACCAAGCTTGGTGACGTTCAAGGCAAACTCGCTGAGATGGAATCCGACAAGGCCGAGTCCCGAGCTGCCAGTATTCTGGCCGGTCTCGGTTTTTCCCCCGAGCGTCAGCAGTTTGCTACCAAGACCTTCTCCGGTGGTTGGCGTATGCGTCTGGCCCTCGCCCGAGCCCTGTTCTGCGAGCCCGACCTGCTTCTTCTTGACGAACCGTCCAACATGTTGGACGTCCCCTCCATTACCTTCCTTTCCGGATACCTCCAATCCTACCCCAGCACAGTCCTTGTCGTCTCCCACGACAGAGCATTCCTCAACGAAGTCGCCACCGATATCGTCCACCAGCACTCTGAGCGTCTTGACTACTACAGAGGAGCCAACTTTGACTCCTTCTATGCCACTCGCGAAGAGCGCAAGAAGATTGCAAAGAAGGAATACGAGAACCAGATGGCGTACCGTGCGCATCTGCAGTCCTTCATCGACAAGTTCCGATACAACGCTGCCAAGTCATCCGAGGCCCAATCTCGTATCAAGAAACTCGAGAAGCTTCCCGTGCTGGAGGCGCCGGAGGCCGAGTATAGCGTCAAATTTGTGTTCCCTGACGTGGAGAAGCTGTCACCGCCCATTATTCAAATGTCCGAGGTTACTTTCGGTTACTCGAAAGACAATATCCTGCTTCGAAACGTGGATCTTGACGTTCAGCTTGACTCTCGTATTGGTATTGTCGGGCCCAACGGTGCTGGTAAGACCACTGTGCTGAAGCTGCTCATTGGCAAGCTGCAGGCGCTGGGTGGTCTTATCTCGGCCAACTCGCGCCTGCGCATTGGCTTCTTTGCGCAGCATCACATTGATGCCCTGGACCTCACGGTCAGCGCCGTCTCCTTTATGGCCAAGACGTACCCCGGCAGGTCGGACGAGGAGTACCGCCGCCAGCTGGGCGCGTTTGGTATCACCGGAACGACAGGTCTGCAAAAGATGGCTCAACTTTCTGGAGGTCAAAAGTCGAGAGTGGCGTTTGCTTGTCTGGCACTCACGAACCCCCACATTCTTGTCCTTGACGAGCCTTCTAACCATCTTGATATCGAGGCCATGGACGCGCTGGCGGAGGCGCTCAATGCCTTCCAAGGTGGCGTGCTCATGGTTTCCCACGACGTGACAATGCTGCAAATGGTATGCACGTCGCTGTGGGTATGTGATGGTGGCACAGTAGAGAAGTTTGACGGCGACGTGAACCAGTATAAGAAGAGAATTGCATCACAGGCCGATGCGGCGGGTGTTGTTAAGCAGCACTGATGAGGGCTGCGGCTGCATGCATATATTACTAGGCGTTGCATTGAGCATAGGTATCATGATGGTAGATTTCGTAATGATATAGAAAATGTACATTTCTTTGCATTCATTCTAAATAGTCTATTCGCTGCATCACCATGTTGTCAGCAAGGTTTTGCAGCACTGCCCAAGAGAACAACATGAACACTCTTGTGGAGGGTGCCAACGTAAGAGCTCTCTTCTTTATCGAAGTACCGCGCTGATCTATTTGGTGGCCTGAGAAAATGTGCCTGCGCAGGGCCATTGCTCGGTCCACCTAGACAAAAGGCCTTGATGCTAGATCTCGACGTTGGATCATATCCGTATGTATTATAAAGCTATATCAACCAAATGTCAGGCATTGACAGTGAACAAGATATGTGACAAGTTCTACCACAGCCGTGGCAGGCATCATTGGCGGATTGCACCTTAATCCCCGCGGCCTCACCGAAGTGATCGGGGTGATCAAATCCTGTACGCTCAACACATATTCACCCGACTGAAAGCAACATCATCCCAACCAGTTACGGCCGCGGGTGGCTTTTTCACCCATAAATTTGGTATATATACTAATAAGAAACAGATACAACACGAGTTGGGTTGGGCAGTTTCAAAACTGAAGATCTTGGAGAGTTAGTCATTCAGCCTACAAAATGTGTTTAGTTGCTAATTATATATGACAGAGTTGGCACAAAACTCCAGGAGATTGGAAAAGAATGGGTACTCTTTTCTCTCTCTTTTGAACTTATTATGATAGTGCTAATTGTGTTAAGGGGACGTCCACTGGTCGACGGCGTCGTTGTGGTTGGTAAGTTCCTCAGATATTTAAGACTTGTAACAAGAAAGTTTTAGCTAATTCAGATAGGCTCGGTACATGAAATCGCTTGTTGCAGTCTAGTATATTCTTCCAGTATTGCTAATATAAATTTTACAGATGTCGTGGTCCTGCGATATAGCATGGCTATCAATTATTATACAGCACTCAACTTGACCAAGGTAACTAAAAATCTCTGTTTATATTCGCCCTTTTAATCGGACAGTGGCTGACTCCCTTCACCTCTAAAGCTGGACGTGCTGGATACATTCGAGACGATTAAGATCGCTGTGGCGTACAAGGGCCCTGAATCCGGTGAGGTGAGTTGATAGATGTCTCCTATAGAGTTGGCAGCAGATACTAACTAATTTCATAGGAGTTGGCTTCGTACCCTACGGATCCCGATATTCTAGATCGAGCTCATGTGGTTTATCATGAGATGCTGGGATGGAAGAGACCGACCACGAACGTGAAGACGTTCGATGATCTTCCCAAGCAGGCGACGCTGCGCAGGAGGGAGGAGGGGCGCAGCTGCTAGCAGGGCTTCTATACGAGTGAGAATGATAGACCATAAAATCGAAAATCGTTTTGCAACTGGTCCGTGAAAAATGCCAAGACTTGAATCTCATAGCAGGCAGGAAATGTGCCCCGTTTATGGCAACTTGATGTTATGAATGCCCTCTATGCCCTTAGCTGCGGCAGCTTCTCAGGAGGGGAAAGGCTCGCTACAAGCAAAGACCAACAGCCGCGGTCAAAAGCAATAACCGCAGCGGCCACGATCATGATCAACAACAGCAGTGCTTCATCAACGGGCTGGATCAACAACAATAGCTACAGTCGGCAGCGGCCTCGTCAAGAACAACTACCGCTGGAGGCGGAAAAGGCCGCCTGCAGGCATTGTTACAGGTAAGGCGTCGCTTTCTTCTTTGGCCACAAGGTGGGCAACGGATTTTACAGTTTTATTGTCGTAACTTTTTTCATCGACCCGCTTGTAGATGGCAGAGTTGCTAATCCCTTCAGTGCATTAGCTAGAGCCTTTCTCTCATCCCTAGCAAAAGAAGTCTCAGGCGCTCTTCCTTTTAGACATTATTGCTAAGCCGTCTATGAGTCGTGTAGAGCCAGGAATTAAGTAGTGGCAAGCTACCCCGAGATAAATACAGGGCAACTGTTGCATCTTGTAAACGCAGGATTATTAAGGCGCCTATCTCCATTTCGGGCGTGACATGGCTAACTAGAGACATGCGCGACCTCTAACTGAGGTGGCCGAGCATTAGGCATTTAAGTGTTAGGGGAATGAAGGGGGTCGCCAGAAACCGGGCTCCCTAACCAATCTGCCTTGTCCCCTCTACCCCCCGCCCCTGGCGCGTCCGACTAGATCCTGAACCATAGCAAAGGTCGCATGAAGTTGATGAAGTACAGTGCGAATTGAATTTTATATTCATATAGCTTGTCAGAGGGATGGGGGTTGAGGTGATTTATTAAGGTGATGCTCACTGAGCAAGGGTGATTAAAGCCTGAGCAAGAGCAGCGTGGCTAACTAACCTTTTCGAGAGACCAGTTAGCGAAAGTGTAGTGGCCGACTACCTACAATGTATTTATGTATGTATGTACAAGGTACTAATAAGGTTAGTACCTCCCTAGGCCCCTGGCAAGGCCGGCTCCAAGCTGCCCGCTCTTTCCCTGGAGATCGTAGCGGTGAACCAATTTCCACCCCTTGCAGGCAAAAATCAACACCGCCCAGGTATCCTCCCAGACCTTCTCCTCTCTCTCGCGCATCCACATATCTTGAAGCCTTTCCCGGTTCTCGATACCCGTTCCAGTTCTTACATCCTCCATTCAATCCCCTCCAGCTTCCCTTTTTGACATTTTCAAGTCGCCATCATGCGTGAGATTGTGAGTCTCCCTCCCCGCCATTGCTCTTGTTGACCCCTCCTCGACGCGTTTCTGAGAGCTTGTGCAGCCCCTGAGTGGTACCCCGCCTAGCCTTCAACCAGCACAAACGCCTTGTTTTCGAGATGGATGAGGGCGTCGAGGAGCTCTAAATATCTTGAATTTGTTGCTAACCAGTTTCCTTTTCCCTTCTACAGGTTCACCTCCAGACCGGTCAGTGCGTAAGTAGCTTCCCACGTCCTGCTTCGTGGCGGATTGGTGGTTTAGGTTCTGACAATGTTCTTCGCGATAGGGTAACCAAATTGGTGCTGCTTTCTGGCAGACCATCTCTGGCGAGCACGGCCTCGACTCCAGCGGTGTCTACAATGGCACTTCTGAGCTCCAGCTCGAGCGCATGAATGTCTACTTCAACGAGGTTTGTCTACCCACACAACGCGTGGTTGGCTTCATTGTGGATACTGACCGCGATTTTCCTCTAGGCCTCCGGTAACAAGTATGTTCCTCGCGCCGTCCTCGTCGATCTTGAGCCTGGTACCATGGACGCTGTCCGCGCCGGTCCCTTTGGTCAGCTCTTCCGCCCCGACAACTTCGTTTTCGGCCAGTCCGGTGCTGGCAACAACTGGGCCAAGGGTCACTACACTGAGGGTGCTGAGCTTGTTGACCAAGTCCTCGATGTTGTTCGTCGTGAGGCCGAGGGCTGTGACTGCCTTCAGGGCTTCCAGATCACCCACTCTCTTGGTGGTGGTACTGGTGCTGGTATGGGTACTCTGCTCATCTCCAAGATCCGCGAAGAGTTCCCCGACCGTATGATGGCCACCTTCTCCGTCGTTCCCTCCCCTGGCAACTCCGATACTGTTGTCGAGCCTTACAACGCCACTCTCTCCGTCCACCAGCTCGTTGAGAACTCCGACGAGACCTTCTGTATCGACAATCAGGCCCTGTATGATATCTGCATGCGCACCCTGAAGCTGTCTAATCCCTCGTACGGTGACCTGAACCACCTTGTCTCCGTTGTCATGTCCGGCATTACCACCTGCCTGCGTTTCCCTGGTCAGCTCAACTCTGACCTTCGCAAGCTCGCCGTCAACATGGTTCCTTTCCCTCGTCTGCACTTCTTCATGGTCGGCTTTGCTCCTCTGACCAGCCGTGGTGCTCACTCCTTCCGCGCTGTCTCTGTTCCTGAGCTCACTCAGCAGATGTTCGACCCTAAGAACATGATGGCTGCCTCTGACTTCCGCAACGGTCGCTACCTGACCTGCTCTGCCATTTTGTAAGTCGCTCTGTACACACACCAGTTGGCACTTGACTAACAACGCTTTAGCCGTGGTAAGGTTGCCATGAAGGAGGTCGAGGACCAGATGCGTAATGTGCAGAACAAGAACTCTACCTACTTCGTCGAGTGGATCCCCAACAACATCCAGAACGCCCTTTGCGCTGTTCCCCCCCGTGGCCTTAAGATGTCGTCTACCTTCATTGGTAACTCGACCTCGATCCAGGACCTTTTCAAGCGTGTTGGTGAGCAGTTCTCCGCCATGTTCCGTCGCAAGGCTTTCCTTCACTGGTACACTGGTGAGGGTATGGACGAGATGGAGTTCACTGAGGCCGAGTCCAACATGAACGATCTTATCTCGGAGTACCAGCAGTACCAGGATGCTGGTATTGATGACGAGGAGGGCGAGTACGACGAGGAAGTTCCCAACGAGACTGAGGAACTCATGTAAATTACTCGTCTTGAATGCTGGCCAAGGGCGTTTCTCGACCCAAAAGAGAAAATACCGTTCTAGTGTCTTTCCACTTTGAGACAGTGGAAGTAATTACTTGTTCAGGGGTTTTAGATATCCTCGGGTGTGGTTACAATTCATGTAGAAATTGTACACAAAACACTCAAACACGACTACCATAGTAGTATTTAATCACTCATTTGTGTTATCTCATTTACTTAATTGAATTGATGCTGAGAGGTTCCTGTAAGTGATGGCCTGCGCTGTAGTCAGTGGGTACACGTGATGTGATGAGTAAGCCGCGACACCAATAAGATCGCTGGTTAGCAACATGCGAAGAAGGTCTTAGGAGATCAGCAACGAAATTTGCGACGGCAGACAATTTGCACAGCAGCAATGTTTGTGCCACCGAAAAAGGCAGCACTCGGGGCAGCGATGCGCATTGCATCATATCCGGCTGCATCGCTGCCTGGTTTCCTGATCCCGGCGTGGCAATCGACCGCGGCAGCCAGACAGTTTTCGACAACCGGGCCGCGACCCTCGAAGCTCGGCCGCACGCCCATTTCTGTGCCGCCTGGCGTAGAGCTGACTATGGGCCAACCGAAAGCGATCAACAGCATGACCTCGTACAAGCCCAAGATTACGAAGACGATAACGGTCAAGGGACCTCTGGGTTAGTGCCATACCCCCTTGGACGCGGAGGATGGAGCCGGTGCAATTGGCGATTGGCATCATGCAATACGGCTTGGCAGAGAGTTTTCGAAGCTGGCTAACGACGATTTTATGATGAACAGGAGAATTGAGCATGGACGTACCTAGCTTTGTGCAGATGGAGCAGGACCTTGAAAACAACAGGATCATGCTGTCAGTGGACGACGCCAACGTCTTGCAACAAAAAGAGATGTGGGGTGAGTTTCCCTGCCATGCACCAAAGGTTATAGAATTATGATGCTAACATGTCTCAGGCACCACCTGGGCATATCTCAACAATCACATCATGGGCGTTTCCGAAGGTCACACGGCGATCCTGCGACTGGTCGGCGTCGGATACCGAGCGACGGTGGAGGAGCGCAAGTCCAAGGCCACATACCCCGGGCAAAAGTTCCTGTGCCTGAAGCTCGGCTTCACGCACCCGGTGGAGGAGGGCATCCCGAAGGGCGTGACGGTGACGACGCCGGCGCCGACGAGGATCCTGCTCGAGGGCGCGGAGCGCGAGGTGCTCATGTCCTTTGCGGGCAAGGTGCGCAAGTGGCGGCCTCCGGAGCCGTACAAGGGCAAGGGCGTCTTCATCAACGACCAAACGATCAAGCTGAAGCAGAAGAAGATCAAATAGAAGAGAAGCGCTCTTGTGGGAGAAAGGGGAGGCACTTGGGCTGTTGGTGGGCTGGTGCCTTTTGTGTATTATATATCTCTTGGATGCGAGCTGGAAGAGGTAGAGGAGAAGGATGAACAAGACGGACAGCAGCTGCGCTGTCTATTGTACCATATAGTCTGTTGTAGCGTTTTACATGGATGCATACATACATACTAAGCTTCTAACTTTCCTGCGAGGCTCAAGTCAAGGCGCTAAGACTGGCTCAGCTGGCAGCCCCGTGTGAGCCGCGGATACAGTGCCTTGAGCATGCATAATGGGAACCGAGAGGTGAGAACTACCTAGACTGTTGAGCTAGTTGCGCAACCTACTGTAGCCCTGAGATACATGTGGCAAGCCTTGGGTGAAGCGCCTACTGTACTTACATAGTTATAGTGACGAGCAACGCTGGCCAAACCCACTACTAGTATGGTGCGTGCCGAAAGGCTAAATAAAACCAGCAACACATTGCAGCACCGAACGAAAACCAAAATCTCCCCCTTACCACACGCATTTCTAATAATTTGTCGTCGCGCAAATTGTGTACGTCAGACTCCGTCCCGGGGCATCGGCCGATGGTCCGTGGCTCTGCGAGAAATTCAATGCTAATCCCGCCTAGTAGTCATCTACGAGACGTTTCTTGCGCATGCCTGCTCGTCCCGCATCTGCTCTGCATCCCCGCGAAACCTGGGCCGCTTACCTCCATCACCGACCGCTCCTCGTAGGCATCGCTTTTGTCATCGTCCCTGTCCTCGCTGCCCTACTCTCCCTGTGGATTTCTTACGAAGAAGTCCCCAACGAAACCTTCCCGACGAAAGTGCAGTCGCCGTTGCCGAACCCCGCCAACCCCGCGATCCTCGCCGCCGCCGCCGCCATACCTTCTCTCTTCTCGCCGCGGCGCCTCGCCCAACTGTCTGGGCACCTCCTCCGCCGGGCACCTTCACCCTCATCCTCAATCGCTACACCTCCCACAGTCGCCACCATGGTCGTCGCACCTAGATACGAACGTGAGCTGCAGGTGGCCGAGCTCGCCGTGCAGCGCGCCGCCATCCTCACCAAGCGTGTGTTCCACGAAAAAGCCAAGGGCACCGTCGACAAGAACGACAAGTCGCCCGTCACCATTGGTGACTTTGGCGCGCAGGCGCTCATCATTGCCGCGCTCCGCCACAACTTCCCCGAGGACGCCATCGTCGCCGAGGAGGAGGCTGCCCAGCTCCGCGAGGACGCGGCTCTGCGCCGCACCATCTGGGAGCTGGTGCGCTCGACCTCTCTCGCCGACGCCGACGCCGAAGCGTTGCTCGGCGGTGCCATCCCGAGCGTCGAGTCCATGCTTGACCTCATCGACCAGGGCGCCAGCCCCGGCGGCAAGGCGGGCCGCATCTGGACCATCGACCCCATCGACGGCACCAAGGGCTTCCTCCGCGGCGGCCAGTACGCCGTGTGCCTCGGCCTCATGATCGACGGCGACGTCAAGGTCGGTGTGCTCGGCTGCCCGAACCTGCCCGTCGACGACGCCGCGCGGCTGACCGCCGAGAGCGGCGCCAGCGGGCAGACCGACGCCGAGGGCCACGGCGTGCTGCTGTCGGCCGTGCAGCACCACGGCGCGCACAGCCGCGCCCTGTCGGCTGGCGGCCTCGCTGCGCCGCCCGCGGCGATCGGCATGCGTCCGCTGACGGACCTCTCCGCGGCCACGTTTTGCGAGAGCGTCGAGGCGGCGCACTCGGCGCACGGCGACCAGGCCAACATCGCGGCCGCGCTCGGAATCACGGCGCCGAGCGTGCGCATGGACTCGCAGGCCAAGTACGGCTCCATCGCTCGCGGCGCCGGCGACATCTACCTGCGCCTGCCGGTCAAGGCCTCCTACCAGGAGAAGATCTGGGACCACGCCGCGGGCGATCTTATCGTGCGGGAGGCTGGCGGCCAGGTCACGGACATCCACGGCCGCCGCCTCGACTTTGGCGCGGGCCGCACCCTGGCCAACAACAAGGGCGTGGTCGCGGCGCCGGCGTCGGTGCACGCGCAGGTCCTCAAGGCCGTGCAGGAGGTGCTCAAGATTGAGGTTTGAGAGGGCTTGGGAGCTTGTAGAGACCGCTGCAGACTTGACAAGTGGACTGCTTGGCAAGTGGCAAAGACTCGATTCAGACGCATAATTTTGAAGTAGAAGGCTAGGAGTAGAAGCTAGGAGTAGAAGTTAGGAGTATAATCTTCGAGCAGAACTTCGGAGTAGAATTTTGGACTAGAAAGATAATTAAAACATGCTCCCCTGAACCAGTCACGAATATAAGACTCGACATATAATGATGTTATTTTTTTCGCCGCTGATTTGCATGTAGTGACAGAGTTGGTCAGTGGCACCTACAAGGTCGGCAGTGGATAAAATTTCCCGAAGCGCCTCAACGTCCCTCCTCCAACCTCCATCTCCAGTCGTCGCCAATTCGACAGCGATCCAAGTCACACCACACCAATCCTACCATCCGATTCTCCCCCCAAATATGACGTCCTCACCCGCGCATCTGCGCTCCCTTTACCGCGCCATCCTGCGCGAGCTGCCGCCGCGACCGATCCTCGCCGCACCGCGGACGCCGCTGCACGCACAGCTGCGCGCCACCTTCTCCTCGGCCGGCGAGGGCACCGCTGACGCCTCGCCCGCCGTGGCCGCCGAGCTGGCGACGTACCTGCGCTCGCAGCGCACGTACGCGACGCTCCTGGAGAGATACAACCCGGGCATGGACATGGACGAGACGGAGCGCGTACGCCTCACGGCCCGGAGGGTCGGCATGGACTTGCCGGTTCTGGTCAAGGGGCGACTGTGAAGTGGGCAATTGGGAGTGAAAACCGAAAAAAGCGAAGAAGGAGAAAAAGCCCACCAGCCAGGTTTGATCCGATTACTAGGACGACGAAAGAACATTCCCGGACCGGCGCGCGAGTACCGTGTTCGACGTTGCGAAAAGGAGCGACACAGAACGACCCGGCCGGAACCGTTTTGCCGGAACAGCAAAGGGCAAAGCACACGAATCGAGATTGGATGGAGAATCAAAATGTACAATACGTTGTTGCAAGGCAACACCATGTTGCCACTGTACTATATACAACAGCCGGCAAAGCTGTCGAATTCAAATACCCGCTTGCCTGCTTGCTACAATAAACCAACCAGCCGAACTGATCCTCAGTACCCGTGACGCCTCCTCCCTCCCGCGCTCCCCTACGCAGACTTGGCGTTAAACACCCTCGAGTGGCTGACACTCGTGTCGTTGCTGTGATGGTAATCGCCCACCGTGACCGTGTTCATGTAGACATCCACCACCCACCACGACAAGTCCGTGCCATGCACCGCACCGGTGTGGTTCTCTGCATTTTATCTTGTCAGCCAGCTTACTTGCCTCTTCCAAAAGTCGCAGCGTTTACCAAGGTAGGCGTGGAAGCTCGCGCAGAGGTTGTCCTCCACGGCGAGGCGCGGTCACCGCGCTGAGCTCGACCCTGGCGGCCTCGGAGAAGGCGGCATGCGGCGCCCGGGACTGGTCGATGGTGAGGCGGTAGCGCATGTCGATGCGCTCGCCGGCCAGCGCGTCCTGCGGCGTTGAAGCCGAGGGCCAGCTCCTGGAACTTGCCGATGTCGCCGGTGCCGTGCGGCACGGTGGCGGCGGAGGCGGTGGCGAGGAGGCTGAGGGTGGCAGAGGCGGGAGATCTTCATGTCGTCAGGGATTTTCTCTTTAGTTTCAGATACGAGTTGTTGAAGAGTCGAGCTGGGCAAATAGGTGTGCTTCTCCTTTTATATAATATCCGGCCATCGTCTTGGACCGGTGACTGTTATGAACGGGAATAGAATGATATACGATATCAAGCCCGGACATATCCACTGCAAGTTCGATAGGAGCTTTAAACTCCTCACCAGCGTGGATAAGCCGTTTGTGCTGACTTGCTTTGCGACCCTGGATATCTCGTAAGCCCCGGCCAGCCTCAGCGCATCCATCTATTGTTGCTTCAACCTCAAGCAAAGGCATCCATCACGCAGGCGAGTCCGGGAAATTCAACCGGAAGCACACGGACTACGAGAAAAAGGGGCATCGACCTTCCATGGCGGTAGGCTTTACAGTATGGGAGCATTTTATTAGTTAGTCACGTCATGTTTGGTCGCTGCAACGTCTTTTTGTATTTTCCAACTTCAAAATTTCGTACTGAAGAGGGGTTGTTAACCTGTATGTAAGTCCGGCCGTAAATATCAATCTTCGTAATAATAGTTCTCAAGTCCCTTGGGTATCAACATGTATGGGAATGCACACATGCGTGCAAATGTATATATAATTATATCGTAAGCGGCGAGGTCACTCCTCCCGCGCGACAAACTCGCCCTCCTCCAGCGTCTCGTCCCAGCCGCCTGTCTCCAGGAGCCACTCGCGCGTGCGCTCCTTGACCGTCTTGAGCTCCGCTCCCAGCGCGCTGTTCCACTGCTCCTGCACTTCGCGCACCTTCTCCTGAAGGTCCTCGGTGAGCCGGCGGCCCTCGTCCTGGCGCATCCGCTGGGCGCGCGCCAGCCGCGTCTCCGCCGTGATGGGCGCGCCGTCGGCGTCCTGCAGCTGCGTCTCCAGCACGCGGCCCTTGCCGTTTACCACGGCCTCCTTGACCTCGTGCAGGAGGCAGAGCAGGTTGGTGTGCGACTCGATGAACTGGTAGGTGCTCTTCTCGGCGTGCGCAAGCAGGCTGAAGAGGTACTGTAGCGGGTGGTCATGGTAGGCCGGGTTCTCCTCGAACTCGCTCGCGGGCATCTGGATCTCGAAGCCCTCCAGGTTTGGCGGGATGCTGTCTACCAGGCCGTGGAGAGGCGGTGCAATGTCCCAGAAGGCAGACAGCTGCAGTGCCACGCCATGCTGTACCGCAGAGTCCACCACCGATCGAAAATCGCGAGTACGGTTGAGCACCTCGTTTGCGTAGGCATTCTCGCGATTTGACGCATCGGCGGCAAAAAACTCCTCCGCAGATTTGAGCTTCTCTGTATTTCCAGACAGTCGATAGGGCGTGAGAACGACATCGCGATACCTGGCATTTCGGTCCGTTAGGAGGTCAAATATGGTTCTGTGAAGGAACTCCCGTGTCTCAAAAATCCACTTCAGAAGAGTGAGCTTCTCAAGCAGCTCTGGTCTATCATCGCCTTCCTCTTGAGGCATGTCGGCGTCATTTTGGCCACTGCCAAAGAGTTGGCTGGCTAAATTGTCAAAAAGGTCCGTTGCCTTGGCTATGCGCGCACTGAGAAGCTCATTCAGCGGTACGATGACTCCATTTTGGAAATGCTCGTACTCAGTCTTCTCCAATTCCTTCGCCTTGTCTCGTTCCTGGGCCTCAGAATCCTGCTCAATAGCAGCAGCGTCTGCATACCCAATATTACCGGCAGCTGTTTCCTTTTGCAAGTTCTCTCTCAAGGCCCTGCGACGCTCGGCCGTTGCTTTGGCAAAGTCTTCACGTCGCTTCGAACTCGCTAGTGCGAACTTCTCCTTCGTCTCGTCCATCTCACTGAGCTCGCTTAGACCACGGACCGCCGTTCTCGTTTCTGTAAGCTCAGGATGGTTATTGTTCACGGCGGGATGATGACGTGGATATGGGGGTGGCATCGTGACCAAACGAGACACGTCAAGGCCTTCAGTCTTTGTCGCTGGAGAGGGCGTTGTTTCGGTCGAAGTAGCCGAAAACTGCTCTGGGTGAGGTGTCAAGTTGAGTTCATCTTGATCATGCCATCCAGTCTTTTCGGGAGGGTACTGAGAGGATGGCCCCTCGCCTGCCCCTGTAAGCTCGTTGGCTTCTTCAACCCATTGGTCTTTAGAGACCCCCATGTATTTGGATTCTCTTTTCGACCGTTCCCATCCCCGGGCAGGATCCCCGTTCGAATCCGTCTCCCACCAGCGACTCGGCGGCCTGCCGCGAGAGCTGTTCTCGGGATTGTCGCTGACGCTCATACTTAGAATAGGCGATAGAGAGGGCATATAACTGGTGCCTCCGTAGTTCTGGTTACCACCTGTACTCGTGGTCGGGGAATGAGAAATGCCTGCCGATGTTGGAGCTGACCCAGAAACGCCGTCACTCACTGAGCTCATTCCGCTCGACTCAAGCTGCGAACGGTCGGGACCAGCCGAACTGGGAGTCCAGTCTTGCGAGGTAGCAGAGGCTCGCCGAGAGTTCGTCATAGGACGAAACAAGTCTCTCGTTAAATCAAAAATTTCAGAACCCATCTCCCCGATAGCACTAGCATAACGCTCTCGTCTCAACCTCGATTCGTTTACGATGAAGTCGGCAAATAGCCTGACCCGATCGGCATCGGAAGCAGCGGCTGACTCTTGAGCTGCAAATTGTCGGAAGCGTTCAATCGTGTTGGCGGCAAACTGGTCTGCTGTCTGCAGCGTTACGGCCTGTTTAGAAGCAGTAGTGCCTGCAGAGGGCGGCGGCCTAGACGATTCTCTCGGCTGAGAACCGGAGCCAGATCTTTTATGTGGCGGTGGCGTTGGTATCGATTTTGGTGCTAGGGCGAGACCAGAAGATGATGCAGGCTTCTTCTGATAAGGCGAGAACGGAGGAGTAGAGGTCTCAAACCCGGGCAGTTGCGCGGAGCCCGGGCCACGAGGAGTAGAATTTCGCGAATCGTTCAGTGCTATTGAATCGCCCGAGCGGGGAAGGTCTGGACGACCGGCACTGCGGGGTGTAGATTTCGTGATAGTCAGTCGCCTGCCAAGCCCGTTCGCTGCATTTGGAACCACAATATCGGATACATTATGTGATTGAGCGACGGCATCGATGGAGCCGTGTGAGGTATGGCGGCTCTCTGTCCGACGTTGTAAAATCGTCTTGTCATGACGGACAGCTCCAGCCCGGCTAAGACTCCCTGTGCTGGATGCCGAGCCCAGAGGTTCTGTCACCTGATTCGATCGCCTCGCAATATCGGTATCTATAGCTAGTGCAGGAGACCTCTGAGGCTCGGGCGGGGCGGGGGCATGTTGAGCATCAGGGTCAACCCAGTCAGCAGGTGTTGGCGGGACCGGACCAAGTGAGGTGACGCCGCTAGGTGGTGGTCGCCGGGTCGGAGGAGAAATGATTGGGACCGCATTTCGGTCTATACTTTGCACGCTCTGCGATCGAGACCCGGAGGGTGGTGGTCCCGGAGGCGGGGGTGGGAGTGGCATACCGGGCGCCCATCTCGTCTGCGATGTCGAGCGTGATCGACTAGAGGTGGGAGTATCAAGAGCGCCGGTAGATGCAGCTCTTCGAGCTGCCGGAGGCAGCCCTTCTGTAGATGGACCGGCAACCGGGCGCTGGGGTTCAGGAGCATAAAAAGACGCGGGTCCCATGCTTCGTCGGGCGAGAGCAGTAGGGTGTGCATCTGGGGGACTGCTCTGCTGCTGCTCTGGCTCTTTTCGGCGCCCGAGAGAGGGCAGGCCGAATCGACGGTCGCGGGAACCTCCACGGCCTCCTGCGCCGGGGGGAGGCGGGAATGAAGGATTAGGTAGAGACTCAGGCGACGCATGATGTACGGCCAGGTTGGAGGATATTCTCGGCGACGGTGTGGACATGGGCGCAAGCGCGTACTCAAAGGCCGTACTGACAGGCCGCTGCTGTCGACTCCGCGGCGGGCTATACGGAGGAGGTGGCGGCGGCGCAGAGGCTATGGGAGAATGATTAACAGTCTGTTCTCGATGGGTAAACGGGATCAGTGACGCCAAAGGAGGAGCTCACCTTGCGCCTCGGCGGCGTATTGAACCTGTCTCTCTGGCATTTGCGGCGCACCGGGCGGCACCCATTCCTGGGGGTTATACGGCTGGAGCGCACTGACGGGAGTTTGCAGCGCGAGAAGATGCGGCGAGGCCATGGAGATGGCAGAAATAGGCGTGCCGTGCTGCTGCTGGGCGACGAGAGAACCCAGGGCAGAGGTAGACAGCGGGTTGAGGCCCTGCCGCAGGCGGTCGCGGGGAGAGGACATGGCTGGCTGGACAGGAACCCGGTCGCGCGCGCAGCCGCAGCCGCCCACAGACTGGAAATGGGCTGAGCTTTTTTCTGGATCCGGGACCCGGGTTGGTTCCAAAGATAGAAACCTCGTTGCCAATTGTGTCAACGGTCGAGTCGAGAGGGAAAACCGGCCTTGGCCAAGGGTGAGCGATGCAGCGGGCAAAGGGCGTTGGGAGAGTGGGTGCCGTGTGCTGCAGGCGGCAGCCACTCACAAGGACAAGACACGCTGTGGCTGGCTCAGGCAAGGTTATGGGGTGAGCTTTTTTGGTCTCTATTTCTGTCTCGAATCCATTTGCGCGATCTGGGGACTTGGAAGCTGGGCTCCAGTGAGATGCGTCGGTCCCCCTGGCGTAACTAATGCAGGAGAAAGCGACCTGTCTTGTTGTCTGATGGGTATGTATGTGGCTGGAGAGGGTAGTGAGGCCAGCTCGCGAGCTGCGAGTTGATATCACTATGGTGGTATCTTCTTGATCATAAAGTAGCCAGCCCGCACAAGATCAAGCAAGTGTTCTGATGAAAGAACTAATGCGCGGGGAGTTTTCGGGCTGCTGCAGAGGGTTTTGCGCAATGCTGGGGTGTGGGTGGTGGTGGTGGTGGTGGTGCTGCTGCTGTTGCTGCCCGCACCCCTATCCCTGTCTATTTAAGCGTATCAAGTTGACCGAACAGGAGGGTGAATCACACCTCTCAGCAGCTAGCTCCAACAGGAGGATCAAGAAGATGGTCTGCAGCACTGCAATGTAATTGTTGCAGTAGTTTGAGCGTCTTAGTATAATGTGCCGAGGAGGAGGCTGGGGCTGCACACACACTGCTTGTTCTTGTCCTCTGTTTACACGGCAGAGGCACTGCATCTACTGCTACAGTACACAACAACAGAGCTCCCGAGATTCCTTGCCAACCCCCGCCTGTCTCGAGAGACGAGTTTAAAATGCTTGTAATATGCCTCACTTGATTGTACAAAGAAAAATCGCGACAAGTTGCCATATAGAAGCGAGACAACTGCAAGACCATCTCCATAGCCCGCCAGATTTGGACGGGACGGCCAGAGCCGGCGTTGCATCTTAACTGGCAAGACGGATTTGGCAAGGTGAGATCCGCCTATAACTACAGCCCTGCAAGGCCGCCTTGCCATCCTCGAGTTGTCTTTGGTGTCAAGACCATGCACATAGTGACCTGAGATTCACTTTGGAGGCTTCTATGGCCTTGGATCTCGAAGGGATCTCTGTCCAGTCGACCGAGTCTCATCATGTCTCTGTCTCTGCCGGCATAGAGGCGCAACCACCACATTGCCGCATAATACCAGTTAGACCTCTAGTGCGAGACCCTTGTCTTTCTTGCTAGCCTATGGCGAGTTGGATGAAGATTGTCGAGTTGGTCGTGCTGCGTCATCATTGGTTGCTAATCGGACTACCTATCCGTAGCGTGGTGGCTCGGCGCTTAATGACAGCTCTTGTATGGTTTACCAGTGCCACTACCCTCGTCTCTTGCCCTTGTGAATTTCCATCGAGGTCCGAGGCCGAGCCTTGGAGGGCGGGGTCCGCAAAGTGGTTCGACTTCCAAGTCGGAGCTCCATCCTATCTCGTCTGGGTTGAGGCTCTCCACATGCAACAGGTAGGCAGTGATGGTGTGGTGTCGCCGCCACGGCTCCTTCTGTGGCACCTCGGAATATCAACTGGTGTCTTGGTGCTATTTTTATACTCGCATCCAGCTGCGTGGTTAGATGTTCTTTAACCAAGCTGCATCCACGCTGTGGAGCTGTGCCATGCAGTGTTGCCTGACTGCCGCTCCTGACGCCTACTCGGATTTCGACATGTTCATGGTGAAGCAGTTGGCGAAGAGAGAATAAGCCGCGTTGTAGCGCAATGTCTCAAGTATTTGATGCAAGAGTGGCCGCCAAATTTTTTTTTTGAGCCAGATGTGCTCAACATATATATCGCGACATTGGACGTTGCGATGGAGATCTAGAAATTCAGGTAAGAATTTTTCCCGTGTTTTACACTGCTTTTGCCTGGTTCCTGATTTCTTTTAGTATCCCGTGATAACTTTCCCTCAGACTTATTGTGTCGCGCCTTAAATTAGCGTTTGTCTCTCGCGACTCCGTCATCGTCTCTTTCGTCGCTATTCGCGGGGGACAACCCAAGATAATCAAGCCAGCACGTGGCCTCATTGGTGAAAATCTTCGTGCATCAATCGCACTCTCTTCCTTTGCGGGTTTTTGTGTCCGTGTCGAGCAATAGCTGACAACCATCGACTCCGACCACCTGGTTAGTAAATGCATCTCTTGGTAAGAGTATCTTGACAATACATATAACAGGAAAATGCAGCGCCCCACTTCTGCTTTTTTGGTGGGGGCACAAGCTCTTGAAATTCTAGAGGATTCTTCAAACTTTGCCCTTTTTCATTCCTCCTTGTGCTCAGCTTGCTGTTGCTCCTACCAACATCATTTCATCACCACCGTCGCCAGTCTTGCTTCTCCAAACTGTAAGTCATTGCTACCTGTTTTCATGTATTTTCTTCCTCGTTCTCGTTCAACACCGCCGCATCCTGATGATACCCCAGCTGGCACCAGTCATAGAGTGACTTGTACTCCCTTCCTTGATGACCAATATTGCTGTGGTCTTAGACCATTTCTGAAATGCGCTTGTTCAATTTTTATTCTTTGGCCTGCATTCAATATTGCAATTGAGCTGTTGACTAACTAGTCCACCCTCAGATACTCTCGCCGACCGATCCCCTTTATAATATCTCACAATGGTCCTGCACAACCCCAATAACTGGCATTGGGTCAACAAAGATGTCTCTGCCTGGGCCAGAGAGTGGTTCGAGGAGAACCTGTTAAAGCTAGAGGCCGAGCAGGGAGATGTCAAGGCCAAAATCAGCAAGGTGCAGTCCATGGATGGTGACGTTGATGTCAGCCAACGCAAGGGCAAGGTCATCACCATCTTCGATGTGAAGCTTGTTCTTGAATACTCCGGTCAGTCTTTTCTGACTACACGCAACGTGGTTTTGCTAATCCCGTACAGGCTCTGCTCCCGACGCCGATGATGTTTCTGGTACCATTACCGTCCCCGAGGTAGCCCACGATACCGAGGAAGATGAGTATGTTGTAAGTAGATGTCCGATCACCGTAGACTTCCCCGTGCTAAGTGTTCGTAGTTCGATATCGACATCTTCGCCGAATCGAAGGAGAAGCAACCCATCAAGGACCTAGTGCGTACAAAGCTAGTTCCCGCGCTTCGTAAGGAGTTTCAGAAGCTTGCTCCCGCTCTCATCGACGAGCATGGTAGAGATATTCAACATGCCGCTGGTTCCAATCCCTCTAGCGGCTTCTCCACACCGAAATTGTATAACCAGCCGGGCAGCGAGACCAAGCAGGCTCCTGCTACTGCCACGAAGACGATTGCTGGAGGTGTCGTGAATACCACGACCGTCACCGACAACGAAGAATTCCGTACGACGGCGGAGGAGCTGTACCAGACCTTTATCGATCCTCAGCGTATTGCTGCTTTCACTCGTTCACCACCCAAGGTTTTCGAGGGCGCCAAGGTGGGTGGCAAGTTTGAGCTCTTTGGCGGAAACGTCTCTGGCGAATACGTCGAGCTTGAGAAGAACAAGAAAGTCGTCCAAAAATGGAGACTGGCTCAGTGGCCTGCCACCCACTTCTCCACGCTCAAGATTGAATTCGACCAAAATGATGTTGACCACGTCACCGTCATGCGCGTCACCTGGGATGGTGTCCCTGTTGGCCAAGAAGAGGTTACCAAGCGAAACTGGCTTGAGTACTATGTGAAGAGTATCAAGACTACTTTTGGGTACGTCACAACATCGCTCACTGCCAAAAGTCTTTCGACCTACTGACACAACTTCTAGCTTTGGTACCATCTTGTAATCACATAATACTCACCATAACGACAAGAAAATACGGAAATTAGACCAATCATCAAAACGCTCTAGATGAGGGTAAAAGCAACGGAGTTCAGGAAAGCTTTCACCGCGGCGGCGGAGGAAACATGTCATTTGGGTAGCATTTTGAGGTCTACTTTAGGACCTAGCGGCGCGTAGATATATGATGACAAGATACGAGGTACATTACAAGAGACAGAACATGGTCCTTTCAAGCCGGTCTTAACGCTCAAGTCTCTGCGTACGTGTATGCGTGTGTGTAGTTGTGTATGTGTGTTAAATTCGTCAGTCTATATATGTAGTGTATCCAAAATTATTGTACAGTTCGTCGCATTCAGTTTCGACGGGGACTCTTGAAAGGTAGCTCTTCGCGCAATTTGCCGAAAGCATACTCTTGAACGAATATGTCTGCCAGGTTGTCTCTGAAACCCAGATCGTACATGTTTTCTACATTTTTCAGTTTCCATACCCTCTGCCAATCTCCCTCCCCAGCGAGAGGCGGCATCCCCTCCCGAACCACAGGCGGCTGGCCGTCGGATGTTGCAACAACGGCCATCGCAGGCTCGACGGGCCAGCGGGAACAGGAGGGCTCCGTACCAAAGTCCCTCTCACGATCACGCCGCATCGGCCGGGTAAACGCATACCCGTCGGCCATGTCCTCGGCCATCTCGGACCACTTGAGGGACTCGTTGGTGGTGGTGCCGCAGTAGACGTGGTAGAGCGTGTAGAAGAGCAGCGCCCAGACGAGCGGCGAGGTGAGGGCGGCGAGGAGGGTCGTGGCGCCGAGGCCGACGTCGCGCTGCACGGCCCAGCTCCAGGCAACGAGGTAGCGGTTGAAGCCGTAGCCGGGCGGCGGCCAGACGGACCAGCCGGGGAAGCGGGCGCGGACGACGCCCGAGAGGATGGAGAGCCCGAGGAGGCCACCGTAGGCCGTGAGGGTGGCGGTGGAGAGGAGGAGCGCGAGGAACCAGTGGTGGTTGCCGTAGCCTACGCAGAGGTTGATGAAGACGCAGTGGTGGTCGGCCTTGGCGACGCAGCGCTTGCAGATGCTGCAGTGCTTGGAGCGCGCGGGCTTGAGTAGCCGGCACGTCTCGCAGTAGCGACCCGGGTGAAAGAGCGCGTGGTCGTAGGGGTACAGCGACATGTAGTAGGCGTGCGTCTCGGGTGTGACGAAGCCCGGGTCGCTGTAGTAGGCAAGGTAGAGGAAGGTGTACGGCAGGGCCACGGCGACGAGGGCGGTCAGCTTGGTGAACCAGCCCATGGAAGGCCAGGCCGCTGGGAGGAACAGGTACTCGCCCCCGACGAGCATGGCAAGAAAGAAGATCTGCGTTCGCCGTGTTAGCTGGGTTGGGCTAGGTGTGGGAGAGAATCGCGGTGCAAAGAGCGTACGACTACGGTGGGATGCCTGTCGTACAGCATGCGGTTCATGCCGCGAGACAGACCACCAGAAATTCTACCGCCAGTGAGACGCCCGTCCACGGCTATGAAGAAGTTTGGAATATGAATCCATATTGTCCGGTACAATGCGCCGATTGGCGTGTGTCTGTTTCCAAGCCCACGGCTACGTCAGCGAATAGCGCTCTCCCAGGGGGGGGGCCAACATCCTCCCTCTAAAAAACAGGCTGCCTTACCGGAGAGCTGGGAGTCGACCAAAGAAGGTTACAAAAACACCAAAGGAGACGATGAAAATGAAAATGGCAACTTTAGCCAAAGGACCCATGACTGTTGTCACCTTCAGCGAGAGCGCTAAGACGGTTTGCTACCTTTCCTTGCGCCTGCGTAACGGTAAGGACGGAATCGTGGCCTGTCAGGCGTCGGGTTCTCAAAAAACGTTAGGGTCCTCTCACTGCATTCATGATGGACAAGTGATAACGCCAGCCAAAAAAAGCTTGCACGTGGAAGAGACAGTAGTCCTTTCTTGCCGGGCGGGTTTTAGCTGGGTTTTAGTGTTTGCGTTCTGGATCTTCAAGTTGACCCTCGAGACACCGTCATCACTTCAAGGCTGTGTCGCCACGTGATCACGCGATGAAGCTCCATCACGCGGCAATGTGCCAACAGCCAAAGCTCACCCCAAGATCACTTTCTGCTGACGTCAAGCGGCTGATAAAAATGAGGCTTCCCCGGGGCTTCCCATCTTGAGCCTGCCAAGAAATACAGTTCAACAACGCAGCAGCATTTTTCAGTGACCGCGAAGAAAAAAAACTCGGCAACTTAGCTCTTTAAGTGCCAACGCGCCCGCGTCGTCCTATTTACGCGTCTACCGCCAGTGGCGGAAGCAAACACTGCATATTATCTACGGCTTACGACACCGAGAAACAAAAATGCCGGGTGGTATCGCATATAACGGAATACCGGTGCAAAATGGCGGGCAAATTTTCGCCGGACTGAAGTTTTGGGTTGCCCATCGAGTGCCCACACGCCCGACCATTTTGGATCATATTGAGGTGAGATTCCCCATGCAGCTGGAGCATAGGAATCTGCTCTAGCGAAGAGACTAAACCTTTGGTCGTATAGAGAAACAGTGGTATTGTCGTGCCGCTAGAAAAGGATGCCGATTATCTCATTGCGGACCACGCTCGAAAGGACGCGCCGAGCGGCGCCATCTCTTGGAAGTTCATCACCGAGAGTGTTGAAAATGGGGTTGCCCAGCTCCTGGATCGCTACAGAATCGGACATGCACCAGCAGGACCGCGGGAGATCGCTTCGAATAGACCAATAAAGGGGGGGCGGGCCCCATTCACCGCCGCAGATGATGCAGCACTCGCGAGCTTCCTGCTAGCCCAAGGCAACAGGAATCTAACTGGCAACGAAATTTACAAGCTATTTGAAACCATGGTGAGACTTGCCGCGGCAATCCTCCCTTACTAAAAGGGAGAATTTATGCTGAACCGAATATAGCATCCCAACCACCCCTGGCAATCGTGGAGGAATAGATATGTCAAAAAGCTTAGACTGCTGCCTATCGAGTCCCTCCAGCATTTGGCCGCTCAAGCGACAGACGAACCTGAGATCCTAGCCATCGAGGGGGCATCGGCAGATCAGGAACTCCCAGATCCAAGTGACCTCATGCTCCAGCGCAAGGGACACAAGATCCAGCAGGAAAATGCTCGGCACCGGGCAAACGACCGAGCCACTCGGGCTTCCGCCGCTGCCGCGGCTCAACCTGCAGTAGCAGGACCTTCACTGCAGCCGACAACGCGTGAGCAAGAAGAAATCACCCCGGCAGAGGCCAGGGACCGGTTTCACGAGGATCTGCAGATGTTTTGCGAAGAAGCCGGCGTCGAGATCGCGCCTATGCAGCAGGTCGCCGGGGCGCCCTTGGAGCTATGGGACCTGTTCCGGGTTGTTATCAAAGAGCAATTGTCCTCCGAGGGCATCGACTGGCTGAACGTCGCCGACGTTCTCGGGTACGGGTGGCTCGACCCGTACCTCGCGGCCGAAGCCTTGGAGGAGTGCTACGAGGATAACCTCGCCGAGTTCCTCGCCATTGGGCAAGATTTGCTTAGGGATGATGAAGAGGAGAGGAGGGAAGAAGAGAACCACAGCGATACCGCGGCTGCCGCTGACGAGCTCGACCCTCCGCCTCCTAGCACGCCGCCCGCGCGATTCCTACCCCCTAAGCGAGCCCTCGATGCCGACGGCGAGCTGGACCTCCCGACCCCGGCCAAGCGGCGCCGGCTGCACATCCCCCCAGAGATCCCCTCGACGCCCGATGTCAACCGCCACCAACCCACGACCGCCGGCGCCCGCGATGAGATGACGCCCGTGCCGCTACGCACGCAGGAGTCGGCTGTGGACATGACGCCGTCGCAGCAGCTCCGCTCCGAGTTTTCCGAGCACGCCCAAACCAGTCCCATCCCGCTCCGCACTAACAGCGTGGCGCGAAACCGCCAAATCGGCGGCGCCGACGGCAGCAGTCCCTCCGGCAGCGGCACCGCCGGCGCCAAGCGGCGCACCCTTCCCGCGGGCTTCCGGCCACAGCCGCCACCACCCATCCCCGACCACGAGTCCTCGTTCCCCCGCGCCCTGCCTCGCACGCAGCCTCCGCCGCCGCCCACCCGCCGCCGCCCCGCGCAGGCCATCCCGCGCCGACTCAGCCGCGACCGCGAGCTCAGCGAGCTCATCCAGCACTACGAGTCCCTCGGGTACTCGTACAAGGTTGTCGTCGAGGGCCTGCGGCGCACCAGCGTGACGCCAGGCCTCGCCACCGTGGTCATGCAGAGCCTGCGCGACGGCCACGGGGTGCCGGCCAACCAAGAGGGCATCTGGACGGACCGCGACGACGCCGCGCTGCGACTCGTCGTTGCCGCGGTCGGCGGCGTCAACCTGGATGACGAGCACCACGACCATAGCAGCAGCAAGGAGGCCGTGAAGGAGAGGCGCAAGGCGCATCGCGCGAGGGGTCGCCTCCTGGACAAGCACGGCCAGGAGGGTGTGGCGGTGCGCATCCAGTATCTGCGGGCGAGCGACAGGTTGGCCGAATGAGCAGTCGCGTTGAGATCTGCTTTTATGAGTTATGTGCTTTAGCTACTCGATCATGGTAAGGTGGCATGTAATGGCGTTTTATGTCTTCCCCCCCGTCCTGAAATCAGTGTTTACAGTCTTGTTTGGGTCTCATTAGTATGACGTTGGGGCGTTTCTTGCTTAGCTTTAGATATGACAAGTTGGTAATTCAAGAGATTACGCATGTGGAAACACATACACAACGTCTTTCTCTGACTCTTTGGTAAAGAATGGCATATTCTTATAAAAGGGGGATGTGTGGTTTAATTAAATCAAATGGTGCATGGCCAAACATTATTCGGCTCGTGATGCAACTCCGTCCATGATAACGCAGCAAAAATATAAACAAGCTCCAGTGACTCCCGAATAGCAGATGAAGGCCTTAGATTCCGACCTTAGCCGGGTGCCGGCCGTGTACACTTGACAAGTCAATCGTGTTCTATACGTCGTCCATCTGGCCGGCGGGTTCTTCGTCGTCTTCCTCGCCAAAGCTGGCTACGGAGGACATGTCGTCGTCATCCTCGCTCTCGGCGCCGGCCTCGTCGGCGGCGTCTTTATTGGCATACTTCTGCACGTACTCTATTTGCGAATGATTTGTTAGCGGACTATTGTGCTTTTTTGCCACACGAATCGGCGGCGAAACAGCCTGCGTGTACGCACCCTTGACCTTGGCGTCATAGCTCTTGGGCTCGCGGATCAGGAGTGCGGCGGCTTCGCCGTTGAGAGGGTCGGTCGGGTTGGGGTATCGCAGGAGCTGGGGCAGGAACACTTCGAAAATATTGATCATATCGAACATTGGCGACCACGTCTGGTTAATGACATCCAGGCAAACAGAGCCCGAGCTGGCCGCGGGGAGCTGGTTAGTGCATATACACCAAAGAGGAAGTAGGGGGAGGCCACTCACAGCTCATCAATATTGGGATGGAAAATTCGATTCACGAATCCGATGCTAGGAGATTTATAAGGATAGGCATCGGGCAACTCGACGTGGACTTTCCAGAGACCGCCTTCGAATGGCGCTGTAGAGTTGGTTAGAGCGGGCTGGTCACGCCATCACATGGGGGGCATGTTGAGGTTTTCTTGTCGTCCTTACTCTCAGCAGGCCCCTTGAACCTGACATAAAACTCTTGCCTTGGATCTTTGTTAGAATAGCTTAAGCGTGTTGCTTGTCGCTTGTCGATGAGGAGCCCACATACACTAGGGGACTGGTTAGCTGGGCAAACGGAGTGTCAGAGTACGGGCGACGCTGTCTTACTGTTGTCGTTTACCAGAGTGACCTCATAGTCGCTCATAAGCCTACAAATGTTAGCATCGCTGGGGGCCGCGTTTCGAGAGGGAGATTTCGGGGTATTCCCTATATTTCGTACATCCTGTGGCCGAGTTAGCATTCAACGGGGCGCGCCGTGGACGAAGGTTCGTTAGACAAGGTGTCCATACTTCATGACCTGGATGGGCAATGCGGGTTAGCGAACAGAGCAAGATTCCGAGCGGCATGTCAACATCAATGACGTACATCAGTCTCAATCCTCCTCCTGGGACTACTCATGTTGGCGGGTATCGGGTTGAATGGAGCGTGGAGAAGAGCAGTAACAGTTTCGTCGTCCGATGGCGGCGTGTGCTGGTCGGCGGCGGGTGGCGGGACCTCGCGACGTCACTGGATAACGGTTGGCGTGTTTCTAGACGGCAGCAGGTCGGGGGTGCAGAAGGACTGGGTGGTCGGTCTATTGATATAGAAATGACGCAGATGGCGACAGGATCGAACTTGAATTTGTTGCTGGGATCTAGTATGGACGAGAGGAGACGAGCAAGTTTGTTGGAGGAAAGTGATGAGGGGCAGATGCAACATGCAAGTCGGGAGTCACGAGGCAAATCGCGGATTGGGTGATAATAGCGGAAGCGCTATAAAGAGGCGGCGGGGCGTTAGAGAGTCAGTAAGAAAACGTCGCCGGAGGGGGCAAGGACAAGCATTGATCTAAATAGAGGTTACATAATGTTGCAATACAGGCCGTTTAAAACATACTCGTTCTGATTCTTTCTGCATGGCTAGAAAAATTATTCAACCACAATATGATTCAAGTTATGCTGAATCAAATGGCACGGATTTTCGCGGCGGTTGGCTGCTGAGTTAGAGGTACCTTCTCGCAGGCACTACCTACGATGTATTTAAATGTACTGCCCGCGTGTCACGAGTGTGCTGAGCTAAGACGGGCATGCTGACTATTGAAGTAAGGGACTAGAAGAAATGCCGCGTGTATGCAACACACCTAATAATATTACGGGACAGGAATAATTGTCGTTTTTCTTTTTAATCGAGCCAGAGACTTCTCTTTTTTGGAGGGAAAAAATCGTAATTCATTTCTCGCAGTATATCAAGAGACTAGTTAGTTTTCTGCCTATCGGTATATTGCACGTAGCACACGGCCGCTGGTGGTATTCTTTTTCCGCCTGAGACAGCCTTTTCTAAAGAAATGAAGAAAAAAAAGGAAAAAATGAGAGAAACAAAAGAGTTACATGAACACTGCAAAAGAACAGAAAGGTGAGAAATCAGCTGTACTACACAAAACTTGTCATCCCCATATCAGTCCACCCCGCCTTCGCCTCAGCCACAGCCTGCGGCTTTCTGCGCCACAGCTGCAAGCAACCACTTCTTGTCAAGTCAGTGCCGGCAACCTTCTAACCATCGCAAAACCACCGACCGGTCTGCCCGGACAGGTAGGTGTCTTTGCTGTGGTTGGCTCACCGGCCTGGTGTGTTCCAAGCACCACCCAGGACTTTTTTAAGCCCATAGAATCCGTACCCCAGATCCGTTCGCCCAGGTCCAAGGCGGTACTAAGGTAGTTTAATAGTGTGGCGCAAGCCGAGGGACAGAACCCCACGCGACCTCACCAAAGCCAGAGATGCTCATTTCTACAATGTAAAAACCATCATGACCACGAACCGGTTAAAAAGAGATTTTTTCCCGCCTCGGGCCATGGAAATCCAACTCTACTCTTTCTTCATTCCCAATCTCACCTCTTGAAATTTGAAAGACTTTTTCTTCATTTAGCTTATCACTTTTTTTTTACCCGAGCCATAAGCCCCTCCTGCAAGCACTCACAAGTCCCCTTGCCTTTTTTTTCCCACTGCCGACCGACCGCTGCACAGTTGATCCCAGCTGCGCTGCACCCAGGACGTCATGTCTCCTGCCACTACAACTCCCCTGGCCAGATCTGGCATTCTGTCCCTGGCACGTGCCGCCCGCCGCACTACCACCACCAACACAAACACCAACACACTCTTCAACACTACCCTTCTTCACCATCACCATGCCTCCTCTCTCCCTCCCCCTTCACTACTGCCCCTTGCACAATCCCGTCATGGCCAGGTGCGCCACTCCTCGCACTCGCCCATGGGCGCCCCGGCCCCCAACCCCCGCAAAAAGGTCACCATCAATACCATAAAGAGCCAGCATAAAAAGGGCGACCCAATCACCGTCCTCACTGCGCACGACTTTCCCAGCGCCATGGTTGCTGACCACGCCGGCATGGACATTATCCTTGTCGGTGACAGTCTGGCCATGGTCGCCATGGGTATGGACGACACGAGCGAGGTTCTCGTTGAGGAGATGCTCCTGCACTGCCGCTCCGTCGCCCGCGCCACCAAGTCTGCCTTTACAGTACGTACACACCCACGCATTTATTTCATCAGATCTATATCCGTTTCATCCTATACATAGTTGCTCTTGTTCTCGAAACAAAACTCTGTCTGACCAGCACGCACAGATCGGCGACATGCCCATGGGCAGCTACGAAATCGCCCCCGAGCAGGCCCTCGCCACAGCAATCCGCTTCATCAAGGAGGGCCGCGTGCAGGGTGTCAAGCTCGAGGGCGGCCGGGAGATGGCCCCAGCCATCCGACGCATCACCACCGCCGGCATTCCCGTACTCGGCCACGTCGGCCTCACCCCCCAGCGCCAAAACGCCCTCGGTGGCTTCCGCGTACAGGGCAAGACGGCCGACGCCGCCATGGCCATCCTCGATGACGCCCTCGCCGTTCAGGAGGCCGGCTGCTTCGCGACCGTCCTTGAGGCTGTTCCCGAGGACGTTGCCGCCATCATTACCTCCAAGCTCCGCATACCCACCATTGGCATCGGCGCCGGCGCTGGCTGCTCCGGTCAGGTCCTCGTCCAGACCGACATGACGGGAAACTTTCCCCCGGGCCGCTTCCTTCCCAAGTTCGTCAAGCAGTACGGCAACGTCTGGGCCGAGTCGATGCGCTCCATCGAGCAGTACAGGGACGAGGTCAAGAGCCGTCGTTATCCTGCGCCCGAGCACACGTATCCCGCCCCCAAGGCCGAGGTTGAGGCCTTTGCCAAGGCAGCCGAGGAGCTCTGAATCGTCAAAAACGATGCGTTTCCCCGTCCATTTTTGGTTTATAAAATTTCTCCCTCACATTTTGGAGTAGCCAGCGGTTCCTTTCATAGATGGCATGTTTGGATTTGCCAGTATTTTTTTGCCTTTTTTTTCCTCCGCTTGATAGAAACGCTTCATAGTCCTTTCCCTACGCTTCAGCCAAACGCTGGGGTCATAGAATACGCAACAACCAGTTGATCCTGACCGTTCTTGAAGCACTATAACTCGTGAAATCACGTCAGCTCCATACATCTCCTCCGTACTACTAAACAAGCCAAACCTTGTGGTCACGCCGCTGCCTCAGACAGTTTCTTTCTTGCTTACCTCGTGCAAATTGCCCACCACCTCGTCTAGGCTCGGCGCGAACGCGCTGTTGACGTACAGGAATACGCTGTCCGTGTCGCGGCACCGCAGTTTCCGCCGCAGGTACCGCACCACCTCCTCGAAGCGCCGCGCCGCCGAGATCTTGCACACGTCCTGCGCCAGCGGCGGGGCCGACCCGACTGCCTTGAACCGCACCACCACCTTGCGCTCCTGCCCGCCGCCGCCGCCGCTCGCCGCCGCCGTTTGCGCCAGCGCGTCCGCCGCGGATCGCGGGAGCTCCGCCAGCACCACGGACGCGGCCATGGTCAGCGGCATGTCCGCTTCGTCATCGTCGTCGCCTTCGGCTACGTCGCCGGAGTCGACGTCTTGCTCCTCGTCTTCCGCGGGCGAGATGCCGGGCGATGATGTGTTGCCCGATGCTATGGCGGCTGCCTGGTCAGGCACGATCGGGTTTCTGCTGCCCATGGTGGTGTGGGGGCGGGCTCTGGCCGTGACTATAGGCGTTTTCGTAGCTGTGGGACAATAAAAGGTATTTTCAAAAATGGAGAGTTTTTTTTTTTAAGAAATGTGATAAGAGACGGCTGGATGTTGAAGAGGCAAGTTGTGAGCTGGTACGTAGTCGTGTTAACGTAGCGCATCGTGGGGTCCACCTGTCAGAATTAGCTAAACACGGCCACCAGTCCCGTCCATAGGCAAGACTCATACCACACTTCACTTATTTATTATAGGTGGTTGGCAAACCCGGCGACTTCTTGAATGTTTGTGCATTTATACCATGCTAGCTACATATACAACGAATTAGCCTGCACATACAGTCTGTCAGATGCCACCGCCTCCAATCCAGATCGTGTACTGAGCGTTATCCTCTTCTCTACCATCCCCTGTGCTGTAAAAACAAGTCCGAAGACCTCATCCCATCGTCTGCTCCGACCCATGCTGTAGTAAGGTGCCGATGACAAGAACGCCACTGCGATACCGCAGTCAAACAAGTAAAATGAATCAAATGTGGAAAATGCCAAAATGAACCATGCCGCCTGTGCTCGCAATTCCGCATGCGGTGCGTTGTAGCGAAATAAGTGCCAAAATGATGAAATGAGAGAAGTGAAAAATGTAAACAAGAACACCGAGTGTGTTCAATCAAAAATGACCGCTAAACGTTTCTCTCCCATTGCCCAATGCAAAAGTCAACAAACAATGTGGTATCTCGTTTCGGATCTATGTCGTCGCGGGAGTTGAGATGCGCAGTAGTTGGAACACGGCTGCGGGTCTCATTCGCTCGCCAAACAGAATCTCATGAACTCGGGGTTGAAAGGTTGAGTATGGTAGTCGCCATGTCTTTCTAGTACTCTTCGGAATCCATTGCTGCAAATCGGGGCGGACGCTCCAGCTGAGATAGCAGAGCGTCCAACTCGGACCAGTTATCGTGGTTCTCGGCAAACTTGCGATGCTTGCGCGACGCGATATGCTCATCAAAGTCTCGGAATTTGTCCTGACAGTTCTCGCAATAACCTGGCTTGAGATCCTTCTTGCTCTTCAGTTGCGAGGTAGCTTTTCTTTCCCGAGTCTCGGCCGCTTTCTGGTTGTCATCTTCTCCAGCCGCCGTCAGCTTCGAATTTTGCCGGCTCATAGTAGTGGATCTACTAGATGCAACGTCCACTGGGATTTCTCCCACGTGCCGCGAGCTTAAATCATACGAAGCCGGAGCAGCTTTCTGAAGCACTTTTCTTTGCAACCCATGTACTGCCTTGCTTGTACCGGCCTTGGCCCCGTTGATGCCGGAGGTAGATGAGATCATCTGTGAGCGAATAGCAGATGTGATGTTGGACGGTTGCATGCCAGACGCAACAGGTTCGCCCGCAAACTGCCGCCCAGAATCTGCACGGCTAATGAAGGCGTTTTGCGGACGCATCTCGCCGTGCTTGCCAATAGCAGCCTTAGCTGGGTTGAAGACTTCTGCGGTCGTAGCACCTCGCGGTCTGTTGTGTCCACCCTCCATTTCAGCGAGAGATCGTTTCCCCGTGACCGGCCTAGGCAAAGGGTTCTCCGGAGGCTTGAGGATAGTGACATGTTCTTCTCGCTTAATAACACGAGCCCTTTCACGCTCACGATTCTTGCGTACCTCTCGCTCAGGTAGTTCCAGCTCTTCAACAAAGGGGCAGCGGCCATTACCGACACTGCGAAACTGGGGCCAATCGCCGTCGGCCTTGTTAATGACCTTGCTATATTCGCGAACCATCATGGGCTTTTGTTTTTCATCCATGTCCCAAACGTAGAGATAAGGGCCCTTGAAATAGGAGAGCTCCCTGCTGATAGCCGTAGGATCACGGTCTGAGGGGCCGTTGATGCGTTCGTTGTGAAGAAGTTGCAACAGATTGGGCTCATGGGCTCCTCTGTTGGCCCCGTATTGACTTCGGGCGTTGGTTACGCGTGATCCATACGCTGCTTGTTGTGTCTCCGATTCCAGTAGTACGGCGAGCATGGTCTGGAACTTGTCCAACGACCAAATCTTCTTACCCATGTCACGAGCTTTGTGCAAGACATCATTATTGCGGACACCCCGAGTGCGCTTCATCAGGTCATCTTGTTGCAGCGATTGCATAGGTGCCTGGCGGAAGTCGAAGAGAAGTTTTCTGCGGGCATCACTAGGTTTATCCAGAAGCAGAGAAGGGTTGATGGTCTGAGGCTGCTCCTCAACACGTCCGCTTTGCTCGTGGTTCAAGGCGTCTGCCTCTCCGGTACCAGTTTTTTCGACAGGGATCGATCGTGTGGTAACGACGTGTGTGACGTCGATGGAGAAGAAGGGTTCTTGGCGCTAGAGTAACTGTCAGTACACGAGGAAATAAATTAGAAAAAGTAGCAAGACATACAGCACCAAGATATGTGACTCTCTTGATGAGCTTCGCTCGCACATCATCTGGGATACTTTCAAAGTAAAACACCATTTTGGGGAACTTGGCCCGGTGGTGTCTCTTCCATACTTCCTTTTCACTTTCGACATCGTGAGGCTTAGCCGTAGGAGCAGCTCTAGATTGTCTATCACGGACAACAGGACGTGCGGTAGCAGCAGTGGCGACTCGGGACATGGTTTGGGCGCGAGGCAGCTTCGAAGGAGAGCGAATAACGCGTGCGGCACCACTATCAAGAGCTTGCTTCTTGACGGGAGGAGCCTGCCCATAAGCTTCCTCACGTTGAATAGTAGCATACGAGCGTTTTTGCTTAGCGTAGGCAGCTAGAGCAGAAGCTCCACGGAGCGGCGAGTTGGCGACATTGGGATTGTTGGACAGAGGGACTCGCCGCGAGGCCATGGCCGCAAGGGGAGCTGGCGTTGGAGATAGAGATACGGTTGCCATAAACTGACCCAGTGAACATGCTCCGGGTTGCTAAACCAGAAGCTTGTTGTGGTGGTCGAGGGTGGATGTGTGGGAGGGGTTCGAGGGCAGAGGGCGGGCTGTGGCTCTGCACGCGACGTGTAGGCGACACGACGGCAGACACGAGACACAGACTGGCGAGGTAAGGATGCTACCAAGACATTGGGAGTTGATATCCGGGAAGAGGCAAAAGATGAAGCAAGATGGATGAGCACGACGCAAGCTCGAGCTATGAGGCAGTAATGTTGATGCGTGGCGGCAGCAACAAGCAGGCGGTCGTCTTGGTGAAAAAGAAAGCGTGTGTTGGAGACGAGAGGTGTTGATGGAGACTTCGCGCTAGGCATAACAGCGCTATGCCCGGTTGGGGAAAACCGTCAAAAACACGCACGGGCCAAGCCGCCGCACCAGCAACGGGATGGGGGACGAACGCCTCGTAATGGCGCTACAGTGCACAAGTCGTGCACATTTCGAAGGTTTGTAGCACCCACTGCACCGGTCACAGCCGGTGGCCAGCCGGTCAGTTTGTGCTGCTCGCTGGTTCTCATTAGTGCCCCATAACGGCAGCCAACCAGCTCTTCAATCTGCTTGTTAGCCCGATGGCTGGCAGGCATAGCATAACTCGTGAACCATATTACTAAGTATGCACCTAGCGTGTTCAAGGGCAGCGCGCTTTGCACAACGCCTGCACAGCTGCACAGCAAAATGACGGTGCGGAAATTTTATGCTCTCATGCACAGTTAAGTTGTGCCGAATCCACCACACCCAGCACCGGCTTGAGCCGCAAACTTGCCCTCAACATCATCACCCGCGTCACTCTTTTCAGTCCTGCAGACCGCATTTCTGCGCAAGGCCCCGACTACCTCTTTCGACTGTCTCGATTTCGCCCAGCCGTGCATTTCTCTAGCTGCTGCCTAACCATTGGGCATGGACCGAGTCTCTCCATCTCAATTCCTCTCCTAAAATGAAGCTCCATCAACCGCCATTCCGGCGCATCTTCTCGCGCCCGTCAGCCCTTTGCAGTGCCGCCCTTCCGAGAGTCAATAGATCCACCACTTCCCGTGTTGATGTTGCAGCTACTCGTCCATTCTCGAATCAACCTCGGAGACAATATGCTTCTGTTTCTGCCGCCCATCTTCAATTCGGGCAACCCGTCCACGAGACACACCCCCACATTTTGAACCCTGGCGAATGTTGGTCACTCTGTTATCTTTATTCTCATTTTGCCCGCATGTCCTGAACTTGCTGATCACGAATTGCAATCAATTGCTAACCCGTTCTTGTGCTGTTTGTTTAGTGACGCCGGGCATCACTGCCCAAGAGTATGCCGACCGTCGCGCCGCCCTCGTCGACCTCCTGCCCCAAGGAGCTGTGGTAGTTCTTCATGCTGCCTCTCTCCAATACAAGTCTGGTGCTGTCTTTCATCCATACAGGCAGGAGTCGAATTTCTTCTGGCTGACAGGCTGGGAGGAGCCCGAAGCGGTAGCTGTCATAGAAAAAACTGGTTCTAACACCGGCGACTATGTCTTGCGTCTTTTCGTACAGCCGAAAAACCCGAGAGATGAGCAGTGGTCTGGTTACCGCAACGGAGTTCAAGCTGCCCAGGATGTTTTCAATGCCGATGAGGCTTACTCAATAGATGGCATGGGTTCCCTACTACCAGACATGTTGAACAGCGCAACCTCGATCTACGCCGATGCACCGCCCACAGAAAAGGCCAGCAAGAGCTCGCTCCTGGATATGTTCTCAGGAAAGACGTCATGGCCCTCCAGGACACCATTATACCCACTCATGAACAAGCTCCGGGTTATCAAGAGCCATGCGGAGGTGGCCAACATGCGTCGGGCGGGGCAGATTTCCGGGCGTGCCATCACTGATGCCATGCGGCGACCATGGACCAAGGAGAGAGATTTGCACGCCTTTCTGGACTACCAATTTATTGTCAACGGCTGCGAAGGCTCCGCATACATTCCTGTAATCGCCGGCGGTGAACGCGCCAACTGCATTCACTACACAGTCAACAACAACGTTTTCCGTGAGGGCGAATTTATTCTCATAGACGCCGGCGGGCAGTACGGCACGTACATTACCGACATTTCTCGAACATGGCCTGTAACGGGCAGGTTCACCGCCGCGCAGCGTGACCTGTACGAAGCTGTGCTCACGGTGCAACGCAAAAGCGTTGATCTTTGCCGACAGAACGCGCGCCTGTCGCTCGAGGATATCCACGGCCTGACAGTCCGTGGACTCATCGAATCTCTACGCTCGATAGGCTTTGACGTATCAAATGCCAACATTGACCAACTGTTTCCTCACCACGTCGGGCACTATATTGGCCTAGATGTGCACGACTGCCCAGGCTATCCGCGCCGAGAGGTTCTACGCCGCGGCCACTGTGTGACTATCGAGCCTGGCGTATACGTTCCCGACGACGAGCGCTGGCCTGCCCATTTTCGTGGCATGGGTGTGCGAATAGAGGATAGCATTTGCGTTGACGAGACCGAGCCGTACATTCTTACCACCGAGGCCGTCAAGGAGATTGCCGATATTGAGGCTCTCCGTGCATAGAGAAAAGTATTCGCAGTGCATTATCTTTTGTATAATACCACCTTATGTATCATAGACATGACGATGCGTTACCTTTGCAAGATCTCGTCCTTAAAGAACCAAGATGCTAGCTACCCTGCACTTTTGTTGGCTGAAATGTTATTGCGCGTCTGCCTAGGCTGATGATGACGGCGGTAAAAAAAAGTCATCTCCTCTTGAGTGCTTGGGATTTGGACAAGAAATTTCGGTTATCACGACATTGGTAATAGTGCTGCTTCTGTCAATAGCATGACGCCTACGCCTTGGGGCAGCAACTACCCTATATTCATGGATGGATGAGTGGGCTGCTCTAATTTGCCTAGACGCGACACCCATTTGTGAGGCGACATGGAAATATACCAAGAATCGCCCAGTGCCATACGTAGCTTGCCCCTACTCCATACAAGATCACTCCAGCACTGGCTGTGAATGACACCAACCAGTAAGCCCAGAGTCGCTGCTCCAGCACAGCTATGCCCTTTTTTCGTCGAGCGAGGTAGAGAACCAGCCAGTCACAAAAGTACCCGCCCCAGACAGCCCCGAAAGCCATGCCGATGATGACAGCAAAGTACATCAGGCCCAGATTGCGCGAGTCAAAGTTGCAAGGAGGCGCGGCGAAAAAGCTCGCCTGGGTCGCGAATATCAAACTGGTCAGAAAGGTCCCAATTCTGATGACGATGCTAGTCCACACCACCGCGGGTAAGGCAACTAAATGGAATGGAGAGATCATCAACTTCCAGTAGCTCATCTTGATTTGCGGATTTCTCTGGAATAGGGTCATTCGCTGCCAGTAGCTTCGCTTGTCTCTTGCGGGCTGTTCGTTGATCTGGGCTGCGGCTGTACTCCAGCAACTGTCGACTTTTAGAGCTGTGCTTGTCATGACTGAGCCGCTATTGTCTGTGGATGGGTTGTGTAGGCAATACACAGATTTATATAAAATGCATACAGTTACGATTTCCTTGCAACCGTCACGCGCGGCAGATATAGGTAGGCCCTGCGCCAACAAAGTCCTTGCATACTCTTCGCGCTCGTACGCCGTTGACAGCGTCGGCAACCTTGTGTTACTAGCAGAATGTCAAACTCCAGGGGCTACGCCGTTGGTTGCATATGTACCCTCGATACGGAATATATCGCCGCTTTCGCGGTCCCTTGCGAGATGGTCGAACCTCCGACCGACAATGCGAAGTAAGACAAGAACGCGCCGTGGCACGCGTTTGCCGCCGTGGACGCGGCTGTCTACGCGAAGGAACTGCTATACTGAATTCCCCCCAAAACAAAGCGGAACTGGAGGCGCGGGCTAGCGAAGTGCTGTTGAAGACTCAGACTGTTGAACATCTTGTGCCGATCGGCTCTGCGCCCGGCAAACGCAAAACCGTGACAGCGGCGGGCCTCACGCCCGAAGAATAAGAATGAGCCCATCCGCCGAAAACATGCAGATACTAGTAATGAATGGATAGCTACATGCATACTTGATGATGGTGAGTAGAGAATTTGCTAATAAATGAGGAAGGGGCTGCCTGCAGACAGTCTGCATCCCTGATATACCGACCCCTCAGTCCGCTGAGGTGCGACCCTTTCAACAATGACACCGACATCCGCTGGCTTGATAGGTAGTCTTATTTCATCAACAATGTTAACTAACCACAAACCTATGCAAACGTCTCGGCCACTGAAAACTGTTACGTATCCAGGCCGCCAATTAGCGGGTCGCGCAATCACGGACGTGAAATGCCACCCAAGAGAAGAAAACCATAAAAAAGAGAGAAAAAGCAAGAAAGCAGAGAGAGAAGCTACAAAGCTGTTCCGCAGGCCAGGCCTGTCAGCTTCTTCGCGTCCTTCCTTGATCCGAAGCGCTGATCTCACCGCGTTAGTGGTTTGGTAGCTGCAAAAGTTTAAATTTTTTTTTCATCTCATCTCAGCACGGCATCGATCCGTCAGCTTTGAGCGAATTTCGAACCTGGCACTGTTCATGGACAACGCAGAAGCCATGACGTCGGAGCTGCATCAGCGGCAGAATAATGCCAAACACGAGGCTGACAACGAAATTGAAAGCCAAGCGAAGAAGGATGAGCGAGTCTTGGTAAGCGCACGCCCTTATCAGCATCTTGCGCCCATCTGCCAAGTCACCAACTAACTAAAACGCGCCCCAGGAAAATCTCGGTTACAAGCCGGTACGCCAAGACCATCGATCGGACGCGAGAATCATCGCAGAGCGTATGAGTCGAGTCATGTACTAATGGCCAAGGACAGATCTTGCACCGATCCCTCAATGGATTTCAGAACTTTGCAACAAGCTTTGGTAGGTCGTGTTGCTCTCGGCGCACAAAAATCGGTGGCCTGTGAAGGGCCCGGAGCTAATTTCTGGATGCAACAGCTGCTCTGTACTTTATCGGCGGTGTCCGCGTGACATTCTCTACTGGCATCGCCGCTGGTGGTAACCTGGCTTACTGGTATGCCATCTCTGCGAACGAGAGACATCTGCCGCTCATCGACATGCTAATGCAAAGGAGAAAAGGACGAGCTTTATTGTGACATGCGTCTTCACATTCATCACCGCGGCCGTCATTGCCGAAATCTGCTCGTCCCTGCCCCTCGCCGGCTCCATCTACCTTTGGGCGGCCGAAGCCGGCGGTCCGCGATACGGGCGCCTCTTTGGCTATGTCGTCGCATGGTGGAGCACAATGGCGTGGACAACGTTTTGCGCGAGTGAGTTGCATGCCTCGAATCCTTTTCCTATTCGCCCTGAGCACTCCCTGACCCAAGCTGTAGGCAATACGCAGGCTGCTGTCAACTATATGCTGTCGGTAGGTTCCGTCCGGCTGACTACGTTCTGAGCCTCGACTTATGCTGCTAGGAAATCACGGTGTTCCAACTCGACTTTCCCTCGGACGCGTCCAGCATCAAATTTCGTGCCGTACAGTGGATTGCCACTGAAGTGATGCTGGCACTTGCTGCAATCTGGAACCTGATGCCTCGTCAGTCTGCCGTCAACTGCCTCACACTAACACGGATTTTGCTAACAGCCATCTAGCTAGATACTTCAAATGGATCTTTTACCTGTCTACCGGAGCCGTACTGCTCGACTTTTTCCTCAACATGATCTGGCTGCCCATCGCGACCAGCCAGACGTACGGCTTTCGCACGGCCCACGATGCCTTCATGACGACATACAACGGCACCGGCGCCCCGGCTGGCTGGAACTGGTGCCTGTCTTATCTCGCCACGGCAGGTATCCTCATTGGCTTTGATGCTTCCGGCCACGTTGCCGAGGAGACCAAGAACGCCAGCCTTTCTGCTGCGAGAGGCATCTTCTGGAGCACCGTAGCCAGCGGCCTCGGTGGATTTGCGGTCGTTGTCCTCTTTCTCTTCTGCGTTGTAAGTTCACCCTGAAAGGGCCACTGCGCTGAATTCTCTAGCATGCATACTGATGACGTCTCTAGCCCGATGCCAAAACGTTCTTCGAATTCGGCGGCGCTCAACCATTCGTACCGCTATACGCTGCCATTCTCGGTGATGGAGGCCACATTTTTATGAACATCGTCTGCATAGTTGCACTGTGGTTTGTAAGTCTGGCCTTTGGTGACTTGGCCGCTGATTTGAAGCTAACAGACTTTGACCAGAATACGGCGATTGCGGTCCTTGCTGCCTCGCGACTGGTATTCGCTGTTGCTCGAGATGGCGTCCTACCCTTCTCCGGGTGGGTGTCTACCATGGTTAACGACCAACCCCGTAATGCTGTCCTCGTGGTTTGGGGCGCCGCTGCCATCGTTACCTGCACAATCCTGCCATCAGCTGTCGCCTTCACGTCACTGGTGTCGGCGTCTGGGGTGCCATCGGCGGCTGCCTATGGGCTCATCTGCCTGGGCCGCCTCTTGCTGACGCCGAAGAAGTTTCCCAGGCCCGCCTGGAGCCTCGGTCGCTTCAGCAAGCCCTTTCAGGCCATTGGTGTTTTGTGGAATGGCTGGGTCGTGGCGGTCCTGTACTCGCCCTACGTCTTCCCCGTCTCGGCGGAGACGCTCAACTACGCCCCTGTCATCATGGCGATTATCACCATGTTTGCGCTTTTGTCATGGTGGTTTATTCCTCCGGAGAAGTGGCTTCCTAGCCAGAGAATCCAGCAGACGCTGGATGCAGGAGAGGAGGAGGTGAGCAGGACATGAAGGGAGATTGGGCTAGTACGACATCGGCCCTTGGAGATGCTCTCATGTCATCACCAGTAGAGTTGAGCTAGCAGCGGCATGTCGACTTCATTCAATTCATGTCTCTAACCTGCCCAAGCGGACGATACAAAAAAGCGGCCCAAATTTATAGAAGATCCCAGAATTCCCAAAATTCCCTCGAGAACAAGTCTCGGTTCCCTGCGTGTCCCACGCACCCAAGTGTAAACGCCCGTTGCTGCCTCTCCATGTTTTATGCCAAATAATAAAAAGATGGTAACGATGATGATGATGATAATAATAATGATGACGAGTAGAAAAAATGCCCATTTTTTTTATTCACGAGTTGCCGCTCGCATATTGTAATAACACACAGCCGGGATTCCAGATACCCGAATCCGGCGGCTGAAGAAGGAGATGGTGACCGTGCAAGACCCGTCCTTCCGAACGCCGGATGGCCAACAGTACCCGTTCATCACGAGCCGACAGCCAGTCAGCTGAAGCCGCGGGGGTCAAACATGTGCATGTGATTCGACGACGACCCTGCCGACGAGTAGGGCTGCGGCGGCGGCGGCGGTGGCGGCCGCGCGCCGGCGCTGTGCAGCATGGCCTCGAGCGTGCGCAGCCGGTCCACCAGCTGCTGGTGCTCGCTCATCATGATGCGGTTCGCCTGCTCCAGCTGCTGGATGTACTCGGTCGCCTTGCTCAGCACCGTGCCCTTGCTCACCTTGGGTGCCGCGCCGGCGCCGGCCGCCCCGTCGGACTCACCCTCGCCGAGACCGCCGCCGTGCTCCCGCCGCCGCCGCCGCCGCTCCCGCTGCCGCTGCCGCTCCCGCTGTTGGTCGCCTTGGGCTTCGGGGGCGTGGCGGCGCGCTGCGAGGGGCTCTTTCGGGGGAGTAAGCTTGGCGGCCCGGAGGAGGTGAGGATCTTGGGCTTGAGGTCTTGCTGCGGCATGCCGGTGGGCACCAGACGGTTGCCGGTGCTGGAGCTGCCCGGCATGCCGTGGAAGGTGGTTTGCGGCCAGGCGGGTGCGTGGTGAGGCGTGGTCGGCGTGGAGAGGCCGCCGGAAGGTTCGTACGCGTTGGGCGGCACGATGCGGTGCTGCTGCTGCTGCCCCCCGGGGCCGTTGACGAAGGACGAGTCGCCGTAGATGTGCGGGTTTGCGTTGCTCGTGGCTGCCGATGATGACTCGTAGGGCGACGCGAGGCTGCCGTCGGGTAGCATGTGCTGGTGATGAGGGTGCTGCTGCGACGGGTGTTGATGATGAGGGTGGTGAGGGAGCTCGGGGTCCCAGGAGCCGTTGGCCAGCTGCCGCGGGACGTACTGCTGCATCGGGTTCATCGGCATCGAGATGTCCTGGCCGCCCCAGGAGGGCACGCCGCTTCCGTATATTTGGGGCTGGGCACCGCCGCCGGGCATCGGCCCTCCCATGCCGGTGTTTGTGCTGCCGTCTTCCGAGACAGACTTGTCCATGACGTCTGCGCCGAGAGAGTTGCCGGTCCAGTATGCCGTTCCCACTACCGGATATGTGTCGTTGGGCATCGTAGAGGATGCAACCACGCCCATGGAGGAGCTGATTTTGGATGCATTAGCTGATGCTGTCGCGCAGTTGGTGTGATTTATCGATGATGGGGAAGAGCTGGGTAGCGTGATACGGGCACAACGAAGAACGAGGCGATCCTGACGTACCTTGACTGGCTGACCATGCTGGCCGTCTGTGGGTAATTTACAAGGTGCTCGTGCGCACCATCGATGCTGTGATGCTCCGTTTGGTCGGACATGTCGGGCGACGCGCCGGAGATGGCGCCAGAGTGACTTCTGACGATCCGCGGCCGCTTGGATTCGCGCTCGAGGGGCGTATCCGATGTCTGCTTTGACGATGTTGTCGTGGGAGGATTCGAGTACGGAGAGGCGGACATGATGACCGAGGCCGACTGGACCCCGGGCGACGGGCTGGGACTGGGGTTGTTGTTGTTGTTGTTGATGATCGTGGTAGGGCCCAAGGTCGCGCCGTCCAAGTTGAGACCTTGTGACCTGGAGTTCATGCTAGACGTCAGCGAGGCGGGAACCTGCTCTGCCTGGACGGGCGAGGCAATGTCCAAGGGCGCGTATGTGCTTTGTTGGCCGCAAAAGGGAGTATTCGAGAGGAACGGCGGTGCGGGATACAGTTGCAGCGACATGTAGACTTGAGTGTTGGTTGTAGACGGGAATGAGTTGGTTGTCGAATCTCTTCTACAAACAGGATTTCTGTTTGCACTCTCTCCCTTATTATGTCCTTTTTTTTTTCCCTCTTTCGCTGTCGTCGACTTCCCTATTCCAGACTCTCAACGCAAGGTTAGGGAAACGTCTTGGCGAGGAGAAGAGTGGACTTGGCTGCCATGCAGCGGAGTATGTGGCGATTGACGAGTCGAGGCTATAAGGTTCTGGAAGGAAACACAACACAACAACAAGAGGAGGAGCTGTTGGAGAGAAGGGCCGAGAGCATAAAAAACGGTATGGCGAGGAATGATATGACGAGGGTGGTGTGTGTTATTGGAAGAGGTGCAGGTTGTTGTTTGACAAGTTGACAGGTGCTTCGGCGGCGGGGGGGAAGGCAAGACTTAAAAAGAGAGGTGCCAAGATGGAGATGGACCCAAGATCGGAAGCTACGTTGTACGGTAACGGGCTTAATAAGTTTGATTGATATACTGTAAGAGGCAACAGAGTTGTCGTTATCAGAAAATATGACAGAAAAAGGGACCCAAAGCGAGGAGAATGGAGCTAGGACGTGTTGCTAGTTGTCCGAGTTGCTCTTGTGGCGCCGCAGTTAACTAGGGGCCCAGCTTTTGAGGCAGACGGTGTGAGAGGGGCGTTAAAACAGAGTAGCCGATAGAGGCAAAAGAGCAAAGAGCGCTAATAAGACAGCTTCTTGTTTTGCGCCTCCTCTGCCTGTTGCTCTGCCTGCTTTTGCTCCGCCTACCTACTATGAGAGGGAGCACAGCACAGCACAGCAGAGCACAGCACAGCACACACCAGCACAGGCAGAGAGAGACTGGGGACGACCCATGCATGGGGTGTGGGTTTCCGGAGGAGGCCTGCCGAGCCTCTGTGTGTGGCAGTCAACACCTCGGTATCGGTATGGCTACTCTACTGATCCTTGCTTGACTCTTGTTGAGTCTTGTTGACTCTTGGAGGAGGAGGAGGAGGAAGAGGAGGAGCAAGTAGGAGGAGGCGTGGCCTCGAGACGAGGACCAAAAGCACACGGGGGGGTGTGTTGTGTATATTTCCTGTAACGGATACTCCGTCAAATACGCCGTAGTCGACCAGTTGACTTGGTTGTACCAGTGATAAACGCTCCCGACCGGGAATTAGGCTATTGATGCCCACGCCAGGCTCTTTGCTCCCGGTAACTAGGTAGGGTAGTGGTTAGTCCTTGGAGGACGGACACTAGGGAGCTCTAGAGGACGTACCTTCAGCTGAACAAGAAACAAGAACTGGAGAATCTGGCCGGAAGTGGAGGGTGTGTCAACCTTTGCGCAGCTTCGCCCCAAGTAGAGTTTGCCAAGCGCCAACGCCCATCGGTTATCTCCGATTAAGCAAGGGCGGTGCGCATTATTGGCAAGGGAGCCTGGCAAACGTTGGTAGAAATATTGACATGCGACAGGGAAGTTTGTGGGCATGGATAGTAGGGCAAAAGTCTTGATTGACGTATCTCTGCTCCGTCATGCACGAAATAATTGTCCGTGGGACGCGAGGTATTGGTCGGGGATCTACAGTCGACGGTATGAGTTTGTTATAGTAATTATTGGCTCTGTAATAACCAACTGCTGTGTGTGCCTGGGAGTGGATAACGCGGGATGAGATGAAAGACCAGAGATTTTGTTAGGCAGGCTAATAAACCGTCTTTTTTTGCCTTTCATCTGCATTCTTGCGACTGCCGCAAGAATGGCGTTCTTGGCTAATACAATCCTCGTCTTCTATTGGCCGTCCCGGGCTCCTGGGGCGTCTCCAAGTCTCAACTGAGTCGTCATATTTTTGATTTTTTTCTCTCTCTCTCTTCCTGGTTCATCGGTCGGGGCCGGCGAATTCGAATAGAAGCCGGGTAGAAAAAGCTGAAAACCAGCCAAGATGGCGCGCAAGAAAATAAAAAGGAAAACTATCAGACATTGGTCAAGGAAAATCCAGCCTTATGGCGGTTAGTATGTGAGACCCGTTGTCCAAACGATAACATCAATGTGCTAGTCAGCTTAGGGGGGGGGGGGGGCCGTTTTTGTAA